AGATTTTTAATCTCGACTCGTGTTCGTTCGACTAACAACCTTAATTAGATAATATATGGAGCTTCATTGCCCCCAGTTCGACTGCTAGCCTTACTTCAGCTATCAAAGCTTCATACTTGGCTTCGTTGTTTGAGGCATGGAAGCCGAGCTTGATGGCTTTCTCTAAGATGTAACCATCTGGACTCACTAAAGTGAGGCCAATGTCGGCACCCTTTTGATTTGAAGATCCATCAACAAATAGGCTCCAACTGTCGCTGAGCCCTGATTTTTGATTGTCATCAATTGGTTCATTTTGATTTGAGCTACTTTTAGTTCGAAATTCTGCAATGAAGTTTGTCGCTACCTGGCCCTTGATCGCCTTTATTGGTTCAAACACAACGTCGAACTCCCCGATCTCCATTACCCAATTAGCAACTCGCCCAGACATGTCAACTTTCTGAAAGAATGACCTTAGTGGCTAGTTAGTGAGCCTGGAAATAATGTCTGAGTTTTCTAGCCGAGCTAATCAGTGCGAGCGCGAGCTTTTTCAACGAAATATATCTTGATTCTGCATCTAAGAACATCTTGCTCACATAATAAACTGATTTCAGCCTTTCGCTGTCGTTCCTCATCAATGCCCCACTCATCGCGTGCTCCGAAACAGTTAGGTAGAGGAAAAGTCTTTCCTCGGGCGTTGGGGTTAAGAGGATTGGCGGGAAGGCTAGGTATACCTTAAGATTTACAAACCCCTCCTCGCATTCTTGACTCCAGAGTTCCCCGTTCATTCCTTCGATTGATTGGAAGAAAGGTCTACACTTATCAGATGCTCAGGATATGAATCTTCCGAGTGCAGCTGTCATTCCAGTCAACCTCTGTATCTTCTTTACAATCCAAAGTTGTTGCAGTTCGGCTATCACCTTTACCTGATCAGGGTTCACCTCAATTCCTCGGTGGGTAACCAGGAAGCCAAGAAATTTCCCTTATCCGACCTCAAATGCACACTTTGAAACGTTTAATTTCATCTTGTATCTCCGCAGAACATCGAATGTACTTTTCAAGTCGGAACAGTGACTAGAGGCCCTTTGACTCTTAACCACTATATCGTCGATATAAACCTCAATAGTATTGTCTATCATGTGTGAAAATATTTTGGTTACTAACCTCTGATATGTCGCCCCAGCATTCTTCAACCCAAAGGGTATTACCTTGTAACAGTATGTCCTTTTCTGGTGTTATAAAGACAGTTTTTTCTTGATCTTCCTCGGCAAGGGGGATTTGGTGGTACCCCCTGTAGGCATCCAGGAAGCTCATTTTCTCATGCCCTGCAATTGTATCAACCAACTAATTTATCTTTGACAAGTTTTGGGCAAGCTTTGTTGAGGTTGGTGAAATCAATACAGACTCTCTATTTCCCGTTCTTCTTCTTCTCTACCACAGTGTTTGACAACTAGGTCGGATACTGTACCTCACTGATTATTTGAGACTCAAGCAATCGAGCTACTTCCTCCTTGATTGCATCTTGATGCTGTAGGACCGACCTTCTGAGCTTTTGCTTGACTGGCTTGAAGCTAGGGTCGATGTTTAACTAATGACATGCCACTTCAGACGGTTCACTAGGCATATCACTCGTGCTCCACTCGAAAATATCAGCATATTCTCGTAGTAAGGTTACGAGCTCTTTTTTCTGTTTGGGGGTAAGAGCTATTCCCAACAAAAAGTACTTTTCCTAATCACCATCCTTGTCTAAAGGTACTTTAGTCAAGTCTTCAATTGTATGGTCTATAACTTCTTTTTCTACGCCTAAAGGTATTTCATAACTTTTCTCAACAGCTTGGTCGACAGAATCTACCGAGTTGTCAAGTGTTGATTGTTGTTTTGCCTCCTGGGCTATTGGACTTTTTTCTCAAACTTCCACTCCATCTCTGGGTTTGACCGAGGCCAACAAACAAGTTCTGGAATTGACCTGGTCTCCTCAGATGTTCACTACCCCTTCAGACAAAGGGAACCTCAGCATCTGATGGTACGTTGATGGTACCACCTTCATCTCATGTAGCTAGGACCGCCCCATTATCGCATTATAAGTCGAGACCATATCAACTACCAAGAACTCAGCCATGACACAAACTGGTCCAGTCTTTACAGGTAATGTGATATTTCCTTTAGAAAGAACTGTTTTTTCACTAAAACCAATAAGTGGAGTATTTAAGGGTTTAATGTCCTCCTTTTTAAGATCGAGCTTCTCGAAGGGATCCATGTACATGATTTTCGAGGAACTCCTGGGATCAATCAAAACCCTTCTCACATCGTAATTTGTAATTCAAAGTATAACAACTAGCACGTCGTTGTATAGCTAATGAACCCCGACCAAATCCTTCTCGGTGAAGCAGATGGCCTCGACTGACTCCACCTTGATTCTTTTGTTCATAACCTCCGGGATCAATCGTAACTCATAGACTTCCCTCTCCTTGGCAGCTTTCTGAATGTACGCCCTAGCAGCGTTGTTTGTTGACATCTACGGATTCGTCGCAGTGTGTATCACATCTATCACCCCAGTTGGTGTGTTCTGATCCCTTTTTGGTTCGGTTCTTGCTCCTCCTTTGATGAACTCGGTGAGATGCCTAGCTTGGACCAATTCCTCCAAATGCTGCTCTAAAGATCGACAGTTTTTTATCATGTGCCCTACATCCCGATGATATAAACACCTAAAGTTTGGATTCCTCTTCAAAGGATCTCCAATTAGCTTGTTAGGCCATTTGAAGAATGGCTTTACCTTGATTTGATTCAAGATCTTGTATATCGGTTCCTTGAACAGTGTATTTATCCCCAAAAATAGAGACTTCTGAGGGTATACTTCATTCTCATTTTCCCCTCGCCCTTTCTGTTTGGCTCAGTCTGCTTGTCACGATCGAACTGTCTCCTACTTTGATGCTCTTTAATGACATCTCTCGATAAGTCGTCATCAACTTTGGCGTACTTTTCGATCCTTGCCATCAGTTCTTCTAGGTCTATGACTGGCCTTCTGGTGCGTGATTTGGTACAGAGGATTCTCCTTTTGCAACCCAATTTTAAAAGACGCAACTACAATTTTGGGATTGCATCCCCCAACCTCATTCATCGTCTCCCAATAACGATGAGCGTACTCACGCAAGGTTTCGTTATTCTTCTTTTTCAAGGTCAACAGAGCACCAACATCCTTCGGCTATTTGCTACTCGTAATGAACCAAGTCGTGAACTGCTTGGCCAGTTGGGACCATCCATCTATCGATCCCTTCGGCAAGCTATCGAACCACTTCATGGTCGACTCCCCAAGACAGCTAGGAAAGATAGTGCAGAGTTGGGGCTCATTCCTTCGATGAATGGTCATCAACTGCCTATAGTGTCTGATATGAGAGGCTGGGTCAGTCTTTCTATCATAAAGTTTAAATTTTGAGACGATGAACTTGCTCGGGATTCGCCCATTTTCAATCCATGCAGTGAAAGGTGACAAACTCCGACCCATCTCCATATTCTCCTGTTACTCTTCTGGCTAGGTCCCTAGCTGACCTCTGTTTTGGTCATCTAAAATGGTTATTGAGTTCCTTGGTGATGTACTGCTTCCAGGTATCCTCCTCCTGGATCCGAGGTTTCTTCTGCTGGCACTTGCTGTCTTTGGCACTTTTGATCCTGTCCAGTTTCTTTTCAGGACTTTCTCGCCTGTTTTCCCTTACACGTTTCTCCTTCCTAGTCATCTCCCTTAGTTGGGCTTTCAATCTCTCATTTTCTTTCATCAAATCTTTTTCCCTGGCATAGGATTTCTAGAACAGCTTGTCATAAGCATCAAGCCGGTCCTACAGGGATTGGACCAACTTTACTAGGGAATGGTTTTCCCCCTCGGCACGAAGGGATTCGCCATGATCTTCGATTTGCTAGTTTTGGTTTTCAGAGGGTTTGAAATTTGCTAAGGACAACTCTTTATCCTCGTGGGGTCTAGATGGGCTTTTGTTGGCGTGCAATCTCGTGTTGCTGTCGGATGGAAGAGATATTGGATCAGAATTTTCTAAGGCAAAACTGCCTACGAGTGATCCGATCACACTTCTGAGTCTCGACATCGTAGCTTTTTGTTTCGAATGATGAAAATCTTTCCACAGACGGCACCAAAATGTAAGGGGTAAAAATTGAGAATACCTCTTACAAGAATAAAGATTGAACGTTTCTGAGAATAGTGAGTTCTGAATTTGATCTTCCAGTATTTGCTTCTGTAAAACGAACAAACTGCCCAAGATCAAAGTGTTTCGATCAAAGGCACTCCAATGCTTAAGTCAGTAATAGAACCGAGACAATTGTAAGAAGACATGGAGTGTTCAGCATATCTTTCACCCTGGTTTCCTTTGCTTTTTATTGATTGTTAGCCCCTTAGGGTTTCAGTGATTTTTGATTCAAGGTGACACACCTTCCTTCAATTTAGCGATTCAGTTTGGGAAATTGCTGATATTTCTCCAATAATTCCTCCTGACATCCACAATTTCGTTGATTCGTTTATCCGAATGCCTAAGTTATAGGCGAGTCTTTATCTTTCCACGTACCGTTGTAAACAGCTTAGTCATTACAAGTACCGAACTCCTTCCTTATTTGCCGAGCACGTCAATCAGCTTGGTTTGGTAAGAGTTGAATACCTCAGCTCGGTCATAATAAAAACCGAATTCTTTCTTTCTTTGCTAAACCTTTTGATCAGTACGACTCAATTTATAAGCCTGAGTGAATAATTTATTCGTCATGTGACTGATCTTGTCAACCTCATGTGGGTTCATTTAATGTCATAACACACATAATAATGAAAGTATGTCCCTTCAAGAGGGATATTAAATGAGTTTATTTGAAACAATCGGATAAATTTATTAAAATATATCTTATTTTATATTTTAAATTATAGATTATACAAGAGGTTAAGATGTTTAAGTGATTAAGGAAGGGATTTAAATATAATTTTTTCTTCAATTTATTGAATTTTACAACAGGGTTTATTTATACTTGTGGCAAGGACAGCGAAGAAAGAAATCGAGTAAATCCGCAGCTATGGACGAAGATGAAGGAGGGATGAGACTGAGCAAGAGGTTCTCAGACAAGGAAGGAGAGGTTGATTACAAGACCAAAGCCGGCACCGCATGGTCCCACAATTACCTGAACCAGAAGCCATGGCACCCTCTCTCTTACCCCAACCAGCGCCGCAAGTGGATCGCCGAGCAGACCCACGCCCAGAAGGAACATCGCGCCCAAGAAGTCGCCCGCGAGGTTCGATTCAAACTCATTCTTTGCGTTTGATTGTCCTCTCTCTTCAATTCAAGAATTTTTGTTAGACCCATTTCAAGAATTTTGCTTTACGCAATAATTGATTCTATACTTTGGGGTTTCTGAGGCTTTACCTAAAATGATCGATTCTTCCTTCTTCTTGCATATGCTTTCGCATCACAGTTCTTGAAATTTGTCTTCTTCACAATTATTTTGTATGGTGTGATCTCTCAGTTTTCTTCTAACTGTTACTATCTGTATGTCATTGTGGGTTTCTATAGTATGCTAGAGAATATACTAACATTACCTTTTTCGAAATCTTGATTCTTTTTTTATTTTGTTTTGGTACTTCCGAGGTCTTCTAGCTCTTAGTATCTCTATGTCATTGTGAGCTTCTGTAATATGCTTAATGTAAATAGGGTCTAGTGGATTATCGTCTTCCTTGCTTTCGCTTTTGATTTTGCTTACCCAAATTATTGATTATGGGTTTCTTCTTTCTTTCCCCAGCAGTTTCCTTGTCTAACTTTTTCACCCCCTATCTTTTTTGTCATCTGGGTTTTGCAGTATGCTCAGGAACAAGAATTTTTTCGCCAGACTTCCCTTGTCTCCAAGAAGGAGAAAGAAAAGGTGATTATATACACCATATTAATTGTAATTTATGAATATATGTATTCACATACATACATGGACAAATGGGGATGTAGTACATTTTGCTTGTCTGCTTATTACCCTAGATATTTCATAACTGGATGGAGATAATGGAAGCTTTTAGCTTTAGTAAGACACATACATTCATGTATATACTGAATAGAGTCTGGGAGTAATTTTTTAACTTATTGATATGGGACTTGATGTTCAGATGGAAATGATGAAAGCAGTTAGCTTCATGTATGTTCGGCCACCAGGGTATAATGCAGAAAGTGCTAAAGCTGCAGAGGTTGCTGATGAGAGGAAAAGTCAAGAGCAGGGCAATCCCTCCCAAGACCCACCCACAGAGGGGGTCTCCAATGCTATGTACTAATATGTATTCACTGCAGTTGTTTGTTCATTTTATGTGATTTTTGCATTGCTGCCCATATCACTTGAATTATCATTTTGTAGGTCAGTAGGAGCTATGCGTGGTAGAGATCAACCTGGTAAAGAGCAAAAGAAACCAAGGCCAAAAGATGTTTTTGGTCGCGCTTTACCGACAGAAGAACAATTTGAAATCCTTAAAAATGCTCCAAGGTGTGTCTAAATGCTGTTAATGCATTCTTTATTATTTACAAAAAGAAAAAATGTTCCTTATATTGCCAATTGACTTTGTAGAATATTCAAGTTGTGTATTTTACTATGGTGGCTTTACTTGTTATATGCTAGACCCTAAAAAAATAGTTTAGACATTCATGATATCTCAAGCTGAAAGACTAATTGTTCACCGTATAATAAGCAAATATGGTTTGTATACCCAAACTAGATGATTAATAAGGTGAGAACGGAGAAGTCCTAATTAGATTCTCCTTGCTCTTTGCCATAAGCAATCAGTTGGTGGTGGGTTGAGCTTGAAGACCACTTCTAGCTAATATCAGTGTCATGCATAATTAGCAGAATTTCTGTTCTGTTCCTACATTAAGAACCTTTTTGCTTTGTGCATGTGCTTATTAGAAGCTGTAAAGAGATACATTTTTTGTTCACTCTATTGACAAACCATGATCCAGTTCAAATAAATTAGACCATGCAAATTTGTGGATGCTGGATACTAATTACTGGTTTTAAGATCTCTACTACATTTTTTTTTCCCAGTTTTTGTTTGGGTTCCCATGAGGTCTTGGAAAAACTTGTGCTTCTCTAATAACTGCAATGGGGCCAATTATGGGTCCTATTCTCTGTAGGAGTTAAAAGTATGATTTTTACCATGGTGACCTCCATTGGTGCTGTATCTATTTCAAGAATACTTTTGATGTTGTATTGAGCACTCATCTTCATATAGTTCTAACAGGGATATTTTCTCCCCAGGCTAGAGACAGGTGTTGCTGCTAGGGCGAAACCATTTGCTGTTGAAATACGCAATGTTAAATGTGTAAGATGTGGGAACTATGGCCACCAAAGTGGTGATCGTGAATGCCCCTTAAAGGATGTAATAATGCCTAATGAAGAAAGTCGATTGAAAAGAGATGATCCCTTAACAGCTATCCTGGCTCAGACAGAAAGTAGCGAGGTAAATGTTGTTTTCTTCTTGTTGTGTAGGGAGTTAGTTGGAGTGATTAGCTCAATCTTGAAAATTGCAGATCTCATCTGAACATGTGGTCTGGCTGTTATGTGTTGTACTGCATATAATATAACTTCTTCTTGCTAAAATAGGTCAGGAGGACGGTTATTTGACTCCCTCATACAGCAAGGGTTAACCCGCATGGGGTAAAACTGTAAGCATTAAGGCTTGAGTTGTAAACTACTTATTTTTATCGAATTTTGAACTATAGGAAAAATAGTTAGTATTTGCTAGTCAGTTCCAACACATGAATGGAAAAGCACATGCAAATGTGAGTATGGATAGACAAGTGATGCAAAGGTTACTTACAGCATTTAGCAGTGTATTAAAGTTGTGTACTCGGGTAGTGATGTTTTGTCAGCTGGGTCATTTTAAAACTTTTGAAGGGGAATGGTTCCAGAGGTAAATTATCATGCTAATGTAGATATTTTTTTTACCAGAAAACTGGAAGGATGGAAAAACCCTGGAGATTGATAATTGTGGAAGTTGCATAGCTTGTTCGCAATATTTCATCTAGTTTGCTTTGCGTTGCAAGTGTCTACTACATTATTGAGATTGTGTGTAATTAAATAATTTCTTAAAGCCATCAGATTCCTGAGCAACTGTTGCTTCCTATATTTTTAGGTAATGATTTATAGTCTTCAAGACAAGAATATAAGTGTTCTCTGATTAATTGCTTAATTAGGATGACCTGGAATTCCCACCCATAACAGAAGGAATCAGAATGTCCCTGAAATCTGGGTGGACCATGTGTGAAGAAATTTAGAATTAACATGCTGTGTAATTCGGTCCCAGTTTGTATCTTTTTTGTTTTTTTGAGCTGTTCGACAAGAATTGGAGGGTAGCAATAAGTTTAGGACATAACTTAGCAGGAGTGTTTGGGGCTTGGGGGAGTTAATTTTCATTTCCTTATGGTATATTTTTGGGCAGTGCAGTTGATCTAAACCTTTTTTCTAATAGATAGAGTATCTCTGAAAAGCACCATTGGGATGCAACCCATGCACATAAATGTAAGCCAAAGTAACAACAACAGCCCAAATTATTACTAGAGGCAATGAATCTGATTCCATGGCCTCATGTTTATGAAGATTCTTTGGTTTCTTCCATGTTAACCTGAATTTAGGACCAATTATCGGTATTGTTTGAGTATGTTGGTAAGGAAGTCATAGGATAGGAATTGAAATTAGAATGCACTATGAGGAAGAATCTGTTGTAGTTATTAATTGTGACGTTAGTTTGGATTGCTCGAGTCTTGGTAAGAATAACTTCTGTTGCTGTTGCTATTAAGCTACTCATTTCTCTGTCTATATAGGAGTATGTAGTTTGTGTGAAAATAGAGATGTTATTCTTGATGACAATATCAGAACCTACATGTATATCTGATGCTTTCTTGGGCGCTTCTGCTTGTTTATGCCTTTGAAAAAATTGCCCTTTTCCCCTTTATTTGTGGCTTGTAAACTAAACTGGGACCGGGAACGGGAACAGTGTCAGTGTGTGCAGAAGGCATGGTCCTGGATGTAGCTTGTTTCAACAACAATTCCTTTGTGCTTTATCTGATCTTCTGGCTTCTTCTGCAGCCTGTGAAGTGGGAGCTGAAACAAAAGCCCGGAATGAGTCCTCCCCGTGGTGGGTTTAAGGAAGATGATCCCAACCAGCAGATAGTAGCTGAGGAGATTTTTGATGAGTATGGAGGTACAGCGTTTTCACTTTTAGGGAATCTCTGTTTGTTTTTTGAAATTACTGTTTTATTTGGTGGATGTTTACTCCTATCCAATGCAATAGGATTCCTTGGTGGGGAGAACATCCCTGGGTTGTTGGCCAACTTCTCCTCGGACAAGCCCAAAAAGAAAGAGTCCATTAAGAGTAAGCGCAAAAGGCGGTCAGCACAAAGTAGTACTAAATTAAGAGATCACCAAGAGAATGGGTCATCTTCTGATGACAACGATGAGAGGAGGAGGAGGAGGAGGAGCAGCAGCTCGAAGAAGGAGAAAAATAAGAGAGACAAGCGAAAGCATTCTAGGTCAAGTTCATCGGAAATTTCAGAGTATGATAGGCATCACAAAAGAAGCAGCAGACTCGGGCATCGTTCTTCTTCAAGTTCATCCGAGTATTCGGACTCCAAAGCACGACACAGAAGTAAACGCCGTCATCATTGGCGTCACCGGCATCATTCTGATTCCTCATCAGAATGAGATTATATAATATCTTAACAAATTGTATTATGGTCCAGGTTGAAAAAAATGTACAAGAGTTTTGGTGGTCAGCCAGCCATCGGAATGAGGTGTGTGTGCAGCAATGAAGAAACTAGTTCAGAAGGGCTGTTTCTTTTTCTTACATGTTGGGGGGTGCTCTACATAGTGCTATCCCTTAATTTCTATTTTCTTACAATGTTTTTTCAATTTTGTACGTCATCTTAGTGCTATAATTTCATATATTTCTAAATTTATGTAGTAAAAAAATTATTTTATTATCAATAAATCGTATCTCGTAGGTAACTTTAGGGTGTGTTTGTTAACCTAAATTCAATACTTAAAATGAATGTATTTGACATTTATTAATTAAGTTCGTTTGATTATTAAAATTTTAACTCTCGTAATATGTTAAGTGTTCTTTTAAAATAGGTTATAATATTAAATAGGAGATTCTTTACTTAATTTTAAAAATTGAAAGTGTTCAATAAAATTATTTTTAATAATATTTATAAGATCACAATTATACTTTGAAATATTTTACAATCTTATTCAAACTCTGGTTAGTGTTATCTCTAAAATACTTGACCTATTTATCTTCCTTGTCAATCGTCTTTTTTAGATAATAGGTGTTTTTTTTGTTCTTATTTTTTGGTTTTCTCTGCTCGTCTGCCGTAAATAAACATATTAAAACAAACCCACGTTTATTGCATACACACACACACGCGCAGACACATGCATGTTATCCAATTATTTATTAGTTATTTTTTTTAATTAGATGTTATTGTTCATTTATTGTGTAATTTAATTTATTATTGTTCACTTATTGTGATTCAATTATTTATTTGTCGTTGTTCTTTTTTTTGGATCAAATGTTATTATTCAGTTATTGTGTTATTTAATTTATTATTGATTTGATATATTGTCATTTTTAAATAAAAGAGTAAATGGGTAAAAATGAAAATTAATTTATTTTCAGACGTCAATTCTGTGTAGTCATCAAACAGTTTGATTTAATTCAATACTTAAATTTCAGTGGATACTAAATAGTCCACAAATTCAGTATTCGGCTTTCAACTTTCAATTTTCAGACATTAATTTCAATTTTATTAAATAGCACCTTAGGTTACCACTTACCCGTATGAGGTACCGTAAAAAAGTTATAATTTTATGGGTCTACTAACATGTCTCTTAGTCAATTTATGATTGAATTGGATCATGTTAAGACAAAAAATTATGATTAATTTTAAATAATCTTGTTTTGTTGTAATTTAATCTCTTAACTCCAAGATGGGAATGGAACATAATTTCTTTGATAGTGTAGTCTTACCATTTATGCTAATATACAAATACGCTTGACTATTACATCCACTTAGAGAAAAATAGCTATTCACTACATAATATTCTCTACCCAAAAAAAAAATAGTAATAGTAATAGTAAAGGAAAGGACAAGGAAAAACTAAAACAGATAGGGATATTAATTGTGTCGGATGGTGTTGAATTTTAGCTAGCTTGTGTCCAAAAATTATTTATTTATATTCGATTTATTTATTATTTTGTGTTTGATAAATTATGTCATATCGGATTTGTGTTGTGTATAAATCGTATATAACTGATTTATAAACAAGTCGTGTTTTATATTTTATTTGATTAGCTTCACCCAAAAGATTAAAATTTGTTTCGAAACGGTCGAAATAATTGAAACTTTTATGTTTTTAAGGAGACTGAAACCGATAAAATTAAAATTCTAATAGTTTGTGGTGTTTTATAATGTTTCGAAGTGTTTCATAATATTTTAATGCATTTACATAATTGTTTTAGAATGTTTTAAGGTGTTTTAATATATTTTGATATATTTTTAAAAAATAATTATCATATATTTTTATTCTGTTTTTGAAAACAATTTTTCGAAATATTTCTATTTTTATAGTTGATTAAAATAATGCATGAAAACAAAGTTTTGATTATCAATTTTACTTATACGTAACTCATATATTAATAATATCATGTTAAGTCTACCCATTTACTAAATAAGTGAGTTAAGAAAAATTTAAATCCTCTTATTTCGTTTCGTATTTGTGACAACTGGTTCATACCCTAAAACAGATAACGTGAGCTCATTATCAAGTGTAATCAAACTTTGACTTTTTATTCATTTAGACCAGTAGACATTGGCCACGTACGCAAAATACCGAGTTCTAAACCCCCCAGTAACACCTCAGCCCTCTCTCAAAATCCCCTGGTTCCTCTCTCTTTTCTTCCCCTCCACAGTCCACAGTACCTTTCTCAATTCATTCTCTCTCTCTCTGGGGTTTTGCAATCGGAGAACTGAAAGAAGCGACATGGCGTCAACTAGGGTTTTTGGGCGGAGTTGTAGGACTTTGATGGCAGCCGCAAAGAGCTCCGCCGCCACCGCCTCAGCACCGAAGGCCGGCGGCCCCAGCGGCATACTAAAGCCGGTCACTGTTTCCCCTGCTCTCGGCAAGTTTCTTGGAGTTCCTGAAGTATCTCGCTCCGATGCTGTGAAGAAAGTCTGGGAGTACATCAAAACCCGCAATCTTCAGGTATGTGTATGTGGTTGGGGACCCAAGTTTTTGTGCATTGTTATTAGGGTTTTCTGCTATTCTGTGTGTAAGAGCAGCTCTACCCTGCTCACTAAAATAGTTACTCAAAATATATTTAAATATTATATTTTCAACTTTAGCTATCCTTTTTTTCAAATTTACAAATTTACTCCTGCTCTCTAGTTTAGCTGATTACTCCAACTAAGTTTAGCTAATATTCAATAATATAATTCAAAAATTCAACTAAAGCATGTATAATCATCTCTTTTTTTTTGGTACTTCGGAAAATATATATAAATGAGAACATTAGATAGAGTTTCTAGCAAAGGCCACATTAGCCATATCTGCTAACAAAAGATTAGCCAAACGAGGAGGGGGATCCTCCAGCTCAACAAAAAAAACTGGCTGTTCAACGCCAAGATTTGCCAAAAGGTCGGCACACTGGTTGCCTTCTCTAAGTGTATGGACAATGGGTATGTGATTTATCTCCATGAGCCTTCTACATTGTGAAATTACTGCCCTATTTGGGTGAGTAACCTCCGGGTCCTTGGACAGCAGCTTCAAGAGAGTCCGTTTCCACTATAATTTGAGTGATGTTCTTCTTCTGCACAAACTCCAGGCCCTTGAATATTGCCCATAATTCAGCCTGTAAGCTTGTGGAGTCCTCCATTTACCCTTAAAAGCCAGCAATCGATTTTCCTTGGTCATTCTTGATAATACCACCCACTCCAGCAGGGCCCGGATTTCCTTTTGAGCATCCATCTTTGTTCATCTTGTTCCAGCTTGTATGGGGGAAGGACCATGCAATAAGACAAGTAGAATAATTAGAAGGCTCATAAAAAAACATTTTGAAAAGCCTTGACAGTATCCAGGGCAAGTATTGCTTCCCTAGCAACAACTCTAGGTAACGTGGAAGCTTTGGCAATGCTTTCCCTATTCCTGTCCTTCCATATGCACCATGAGACACATGCACACATGATGGGCCAGTTGATTCCTTTCCATTCCTTCTTCTTCCTTGGTTTAAAAGTTAAAAGGATCCAATTTTGTAACCCACCTATCTGGTTGGTATCTCTTCCCTGGGACAAGTTAAAAAAATCCCACACTTTTTGGGCTTTTGGGCATTCGAAAATTACATGCAATGATGATTCAACTGGGTGGTGACATCTAGTGCACGAAGCATCACTAGCCATGTTCCTTGAAGCTCTAAGGTTATTCGTGAGAAGCCTATCATGATGAACAAGCCACAAAAACTATTTTATCTTTTGTGGGAGTTTCAAATCCCAGATCCAGTCTTCGTGGAGAGAGGAAGGTCCACTCAAACTAGCATGAGAAATAAGATCAAAGGCAACCTTAATAGAGAATTTACCATTACTTAAGAGACCCCAACATATTGTATCCTGAAAGTCAGCAACAAATGAACATGGAGATTGTAAAATCTCAAGTAAAGTAGTGTGGGGAAGAGAAATACCTGCCTCTTGAAGATTCCAGTTGCCACTATCATCTAAGAAATCAGCCACCTTCTTGTTGAGATCTAGAAGGTTTGGTTCAGTAGCCTGCACTAGAGGGCCCTTTCCCCACCACCAATCAGTCCAAAAATTGGTGTGTTTCCCATCTCCTATTAACCGTTTTGACCCAAGGTCCCCGATATTTTTAGTCTTACCAATTGCTTACCAAGTTGATGAGCAAGCAAACTTTAGGTTCCAGTTAAGATTAGCCTGATCAACATACTTGCTGCTAATCACATCAACTCAGAGAACTTTCTCTCTATTCTTAATTTTCCAACCCAGTTTAAATAGCAGAGCTAAGTTGTTATCTCTGCTCTTTCTCACTCCCAACCCCCTTCCTTTTTGTAGAAACACACCCTATCCCAATTCACCAGATATACCTTCTTCTTTTCGGGTGTGTCACCCCACAAAAAGTTTCTATTTAGTCTACCAATCTGGTCACAAGTGGCTTAAGGCAGCTAGTTAGTCTGCATCACATGATTCGAGATAGTAGAAGTGACCGCCTTGACAAAAGTGGTTCTACCTGCCAAAGAAAGGGACTTGGCTTTCCACCCACTAAGCCTATTTTGGATTTTCTCAATTATAAACTTAAAATGCTCTTTTGAAGATCTTTTATGCAAGATAGGGACACCTAGATATTTTCCTAGATCATCAGTAATATTTATGCCACATTTCTTACTAAGGCTTACAACATAACTTATACTTATACTAGGAGAAAAGAAAACCTTAGATTTATTAAGACTAATCTTTTGACCTGACAACAAGCAAAAATCATCAAGTACATCTTTAATCATTGAACAGTCTCTTTCAGTGGCTCTTGAGAACAAAATGATATCATCTGCAAAAAATAAGTGGGTAATTTGAGGACCATTTCTAGAGGCTTTCAATCCACACCATTTTCTTTCATGGACTTTTTCAAAGATAATTTGTCTCAGGCGTTCCATACACAAAACAAAAAGATAAGGAGATAATGGATCCCCTTGTCTCAGGCCTCTTTTAGACTTAATTGGTTCTAGGGGAGAGCCATTCCATAGAATAGAAAGAGAAGATCCTGTAACATAACTCATGATAATATCAATCTAAGACTTGAAAAAATTAAAATCAAGAAGAGTATTATAAAGGAAAGTCCAGTTGATTCTATTATAGGCTTTTTCTAAATCAATTTTGATAACCAAGCCCCCCACTCTTTCCTTTCTTCCTCTTTAAACAGTGAATGATTTCTTGAGTTATAATGACATTATCAACAGTTTGTCTACCTAGGATGAAACTACATTGGTTAGGGCTTATTAGTTTCTCCATAAAAGGTCTTATTCTACACACTTAACATTTTAGTCAGAATATTGTAGGGAACATTACTCAGACTGATAGGTTTGAACTGGGTGATCTGCGTAGGATTATCAATTTTCGGTATAAAGGTCACCCAGGTTTTATTAAGGTCACTTGGGCATTTTCTATTATCAATCATATCCTTAATAAGGTTGCAAACAGAGTCACCAACAATGTTCCAGTAATTTTGGAAAAACAGGGCTTGGAGTACATCCGGACCTGGAGCTTTCATAGGTTTCATGCTAAAAATAACATTTTTAATTTCATTATTTAGTGCAGGAGCTTCAAGGGCTCCGTTAACCTCATTACTCAGTTTTCTTTGGAACCTGAAAGTCCTCTGGGGGGTAGGGGTCAGTGGTTTCAGTCCCAAATAGATTATAGAAAAAGTCCTGAACAGCTTTGGCTATCTCCTCCTTATTTGTAACCCAGCCCCCTTCCATATTCTTGATTACCTATGGTTTACTTTTTTTTTTTTCTAGTAATGGTGGAAACATGAAAAAAGTTTGTGTTTCTATCCCCACATGTAATCCATTTTGATCTGGATTTTTGGTACCATAAAACTTCTTCCTGTTCCAGAATTTGGTTATACTCATATTGAAGATTCTCCTCTAGTCTAGTCAAGTTATGTGAGTAATGTGAATCCGCGGCTTTCTGAATTCCCTTTAATCTTGCTAATATTCTTCTAAACAGATTACCAAAAGACATTTTATTCCATTCATTTGCAATAGAACCAAAATTATTAGAGGCTTTTAATAGAGAGAAATTATTAGATTTTCAGGTCCAAGCAACCATATCTTTAAATTCAGGGTGAGACATCCACATAACTTCTAGTGTAAATGGTTTAAACGAAAGAGGGATTGAAGGCATACCTTTCTGCTGTGTCAGCAGAGGACAGTGATTTGAGTAGGTTTTAGAAAGATTCCTTACGCTAGCCTCAGGAAATTGCATAGTCCATGCCGAGTGTGCTAGGGCTCTATCCATAATTTTAGTATTCGCAAGGCCTTTCCTCTTATTATTCCAAGTGAGTTTGGGGCTGCTGCATCCAAGATCAATGAGGCCGCAATTATTGACTGCCTTTGAATTTTCTGATTCTGCTTGTGTTATTCACCTGTCTCCCCCCCTTCTTTTTGAATGGCTAGAGAAGTCATTAAAATCCCTAGCCACCATCCACGAACTCTTATATTATCACCTGTGCAGCTTAGTTCATCGCACAGTTGATCTCTGCTGACAGCGTTGGGACTCCCATAGACAGTAGAAAATAACCATTCATCAAAATTCATTCTCGCTATAGTGGCGTGGATGGCTTGCTTAGACATGCCCTTCGTGTTTATAAAAATATTGGATGGATCCCAGAAAAGCCAGATTCCCACAGCTCTACCCTTCGGTTCCATAAGCTCAAAAGCAATAAGATCATACTGGTCAAAGCAGTTCTCCATTTGATTGCTTTGGATTTTCGTCTCTAACAACACAACCACATCAGGTTTATGGGCCCTAAAATGGTCGTTGAACACCCTTCTAAACCTCTTGTTGCCTGCGCCCCTACAGTTCCAAAAAAAAATCTTCATAGAAGACATCATTAGATAATGAGGAATAGGTGTGGACTTGTCCATATCCAGTTTATGCCTTGCTATCTCGCTAAACTCCTCGATTGGGATTGCTGGTCTCAGTGAGACAGCGGTGGTCTGAATCTTCGCTTCTCTGAGCTTGCACGGTTCCACCACAAGTAAGGTTGACTCCACAATCCATTGGACAAGAACAATGCTCTTCTCCGCGGGATGGAAGAATAAACCCATCCGATTGTCTTGCAGATGGTATGTCTTTGTAAGGGGTAAAAATCGCTACGGATCTCATCCCTCCACTTGAAGGATTCTGGCTGACCTGGCGGCACCGAGCCCCAGTAGCCTTTACCTCTCTTCGCCAATAGGACCCTTTCCTAAGGCAATCCCACATCGGAAGAGAGTCGTCTTCTCCCCTCGCATATAAGCCCTTGCACTCAAAGGAGGAGGTACCCACTAGCGACCTGATCAGGTGCCTAGTGGGTACCTCCTCATTTGAGTGCAAGGGCTTATATGCGAGGGGGGGAGACGACTCTCAGTCGATGTGGGACGAAGCTCCTGCGGGCACTGAGAGGTAAAGGCTACTGGGGGGTCGCCCGCGTTGGTTAACCCAGGTCAAGCCAAAATCCTTAGTAGAGGGTTCTACCCTTTACAGAAAGACGCTTTTTTGTAAGAGGTAGAAATCGCTACGGGATTTCAGCCCTCCACTCGAAGGATTCCGACTGACCTGGCGACACCGAGCCCCAGTAGCCTTTACCTCTCTTCGCCAATAGGACCCTTTCCTAAGGCAATCCCACATCGGAAGAGAGTTGTCTCCCTCCCCGCCATATAAGTGAACACTTCCTATGGAGGAGGTACCCACTAGACACCTGATCAGGTCGCTAGTGGATACCTCCTTCATAGGAAGTGTACACTTATATGGCGGGGGGGAGACGACTCTCTTCTGATGTGGGATTGTCTTAGGAAAATGTCCTATTGGCGAAGAGAGGTAAAGGCTATTGGGGCTCAGTATCGCCAGGTCAGCCGGAATCCTTCGAGTGGAGGGCTGAAATCCCGTAGCGATTTCTACCCCTTACAGTCTTCAATAGGGGATTTTCCATTATTTCTTTCTCTGCTCCTCACACCTGGGTCTGGTGGATTCGGGTTGAGGACTGTATCTGGTTTGTACAGTTGATCGGTTGAGGGGAAGGAGGGTTGGGGATGATGAGAGTGTGGATGATGGCTAGTTCCAGAGCTACAGGGTAGGTACCTGGAATCGTACATGACCTGTTGCCCTTCTTTAACCTCGTTCTCCCACCTTAGATCCATTGGATTGGAGCCTAATTCCAAAGCGACGCTGTGACCCTTCATTCTCTGCACCAGCCCTAGCTCTTCAGGGATTTTTTTCTTGGGGGTAACATCTATTGGATTGGGTCCTGTCCGGATTTGAGACCTACTCCCAGTTTCTTCTAGAACCCGATTGTTGGCCTTTCTTGGGACCTGGGTTATGTCTTTGGGTTGGATTTCCTTATTCGAGACCCATATCTTGACCTTGGGTTGCTTCATAGTTTTGGTTCTGGAGGGCCTAGAATCTGTTAGATTGGCTCATCCCTTTCTGAGGTACCTGCTTGTTGGGCTAACAACCAAGGCCCAAACTCTGCCACACTGTTCTGCCCATTGGATCTCACTTAGGTGGAGTTCAAGCTATCATGTGACCGCCGGAGAGTTTCAAAGGTAACGACTCTTTCCATCTGTAGGTCTTCTTCGACAACCGTCGGAGATTTTATTCCTTGATTATGGGGGCAAAAGGTTTCCATATTGCGTATTCTTCCGCAACCAAAACAAATAACATGGAGACATTCATAGTTAACTCTAAATATTCTTGATCCCAACTTATACTGAGAAATCAGTGGTTTACTGAGATCTCTCTCCACACACACACACACTAGCAAATTTTTCTTTCTCAGTGGCTGCAGTCTTTATATCAACCTTAATTGGCTTATTCAAGGCTTTGGCGATTTGGAATAAAGTTTTTTCATCATAATATTCCAGTGGTAATTCCGGTAGCCTTACCCATAAACATGTGGTGATCTCAGAGGCCCTTGAAGGGATGAAATCTGGTTCCCATTTCCTCACTGTCAGATAGTGGTTCATTATAATCCATGGGCCTCCTGTGGAGACCTTGAAGCAATCTTCCTTGGACTGAAATTTGAACAGGAAGAAACCATTATCGCCTCAAAATCATCCCGCAAAGCCCAAATATTTCTGACCTTCATGCACAACATCTTGTATCCAATATTTTTTCCAAGAAGCTTAACAAGCAACCCATCTCTTCATCTATTCTGTATACGATCAAGAATTTTTTGTTGAAGTCTGATATGGGGGCAGGATTCGTTTGAGGTATCAATAACAACTTGTTTGGATAACCCAGAATTGGCATTTTCCCCGTCCTCTTCTGGGCCCTTGTTGGTGATTTTCTCCTCCTCCTCATTAGAGGTTCCCCATATGCGGCTTCATCAAAGTAAATGGAATTTCTATCTTCCAGTAGTGCGGCCATGTAATTCCTGGTCTTAGGACCAGGAGGAGACGCTGGTATATCAATCATCACTTGTTTTTCTACCTCCGAACGATTGGGTTCTAGTTCTGCCGTCATCTCTTTCATTGGCTGGGGCAATATGATACTCTTTGATTTTCTTTGTACTCCGCTAGAGATGATCGTCTTCCTCCGACGATCTGAGCAAAAGGATCTTTGGATCCTCATCCATGAGAGGCGAGATCAAGGTGGGGAAAAACAAATAGTAATCGAGCTCTGGCCAATCCTTTCTGAGGACTCTTTTAGAGAGAGAAAAACTAGAGAGAGGTTAGAGCATTTTATTCCACTTCTATTATTCTTTTTCCATGTATAATCATCAACCCAATCAAAATCATACCATAATAATAATTCTAATTAAATTTTAAATAATACAACTTAATAGCAATTTAGTACCCATCCACTTTAAATAACAAAAATCAATTGCACAATATGTCACATAAATTTAAGATTTTCCCAAATACTTACATTAATATTTCATAAGGGTCTAAATATAAATATTCTTTTATACATAAAATTAATCACTCATTTGGTTCTTGCGTCTCCACCTTCCATTGGAGCATACCAGTGGAAGTATCCAGCCCCTTCCACTTCGAAGACGATGAAGCCATAGTGAGAGAGAGAGAGATCCATACCTGGTTGAAGGCGAAGACGATGAAGCCACAACACAGGAAGACCAACCACAAAATTTGGCGCAAAGAAAACATAACCACAAAATTTGGCGCAAAGAAAACATAGTGAGGGAGCCTTGCTAGCTAGAAGTAGTGAGTGAAAATGGGAGAAGCTAAAATAGTTAGAGGTATAAAGAGCCGGTTGGAGCACCAATTTTGTAGTTTTGCTCGCCAAAATAGCTAAAAGGGCTGTTTGCTGAGCAGCCTTGGAGATGCTCTAACATTTGCAGTTGATTTCGCATAGTGGACTGAACTTTTTGTTTATGGTCCTTAGGCTTTTACTGGAGTGAAGTTTTTGTGCATAGTGGACTGAAGTTTGTTAGTTTCATATAGGCTGTAGATGGTAATTTGATGTTTTTTCATAGATATCCTTACATAAGTACTTTTAAGGGTCATGCATGTTATTCATTATTTTTTCTCCTTGGGAAGGGAGGAAGGTGAAGGTGGTGTGGGTTGGGGTTCTGCTAGAAATGGATTGTTTCAGCCCTTAATTTTCTGTTTAGGTTCTAGCAAATTAAAATAGGACTGAGACATTTCTGGGAAATGAATCTTTTCTTACTCATGGAAGCTAGAACTAGCATCTTAGCATCAATATTTATAGTCTGCTTTCTATTACTTATGGGCTTACAAATTCAGAATTCACTTTGTTAGCTTTGTTGATGGTGCTGCTGTTTGATATCGGTTGTTATGTTTTTCTGCTTTCTATTATTGCTTTAACTTGTTATAAGTTCTGTTGATTTCTGATGCATTGGTTTTCATTTTTTTAACCTATTAGTGGAATGAGAAATTCTAACAAAAATAGAAATCCAGTGTCGTTTTGTTGAAATAGCATTGGAAAACACCAATTGGTAGATTCATATGGAAATGTGAACTTATCAGTGGAATGTGTTAAGAAATGTGTTTTGTTTGGATTATGTGACCTTATTTAGAAAAAAATGTGACAATGTGGAACATTTTGCCATAGGTTCAGAAAGGTTGATCTAGCAGTGGATTATGCATATGTTCTTGAAGCTAACTTAGTGAATTGAAGATGTATATTTTTTTCTTTGGCATGCATTGAGAAGGAAGCATTGGTTTATTGGTTATTATTCATCTTCTTTTTGTTGGAACTTCATGTATTTTTTACTTTTTAGAGGGGTTGTGTTTCGGTGTGGGTGGAATTAGTGTTATTAAAAGTGCGCCTAGGTGATCGCCTAGGTGCAAGGCAATGTCAGGCGAGCCCGTGTTGCCTCAAGTGTTCAAGGCAAAGCAAGCTTTTCCAAATTGACACTTAAGCGGCGAGTGTGATTTCTTTTTTTTTTTTTGTTTGGTGACAAGTATGATTTCTAAGTCCGCAAGATTTGTGGAAGTAGTGAGAAAATGTCAAAATATTTAGTTGCTTGACTTGTGTGTTTTTTATTTTCAAATGTTAGGATTTGGGATATTATTGGTGTTTTTTTGAATTTAAATGTTTATGCTTTTGGTTGTCGTTATAATTTGAGATATTATTGATGTTTATTTCAACTTAAATGGTTATGCTTTTGGTTGTATTTGAACATTTAGTATGTGAGAAGCTGGAACTTTAATATTTGATTGGTTTTCACATTGTTCGCTCTGCTTTGGTGAAGCTCTCGCTTCGCCTGTCGCCTCTCACCTCTCACCTAGGCATCGGTAGATCTGAACTTCACTTTACGCCTTAAATAAAATTGGGTGAAAGGAAGAGTTTGGAGTTGTCAGTCTTGGATACATGTCCATATGCTCCATACGTTATTCAAAACTTGTGCTCTTACCCTTTTTCCAGGTTGCAATGTATTCTGATTTTGTCAAACCTTTCCTTGCTTCAAAAGATATGTTTGTTCTGTCGCGTCCTGACATTGCTGTGTTTCTTTGCAGAACCCAGCAAACAAGAAAGAGATATTTTGTGATGAGAAATTGAAGACCATCTTTAATGGGAAGGATTGTGTTGGGTTTCTGGAGGTTGCAAGATTATTGTCTCAGCATTTTCAAAAGGCTGGCTGAACTTTGCTGGGGCTTTTGAAAAAACTTGTGATCTCATCTGGAAGATTCTAGTGCACTTGAAATGTTCCTTTTTTCTTTTCTTTCTATCACCCCTTCCTTTTGGCCATCCATGTTTGAATCCATGATCATGAATTTTGGTGCACAGTTCCAATGCTATGTTATCCAATGACAAGAACTGTGTTCTGGGATTTTTAACATAGAGGTTTTCCAATTTGATAAGCTTTAGGCTTGTCAATGGAAACTATGGTCAATGAAGTAGCTGTGAAATTCTCTAGATTCCTTGTAGATTGATGGTTGTTTTCTTTACAGGGGGATATGCATTCGAAATAGCTCCACGAGTGTGGTATGAATATAGACTATTAACAAAGATTGGAGTTGTCGTTTCATTTTTTAAAAGTGAGGGGACGTTCATATCATCCAATAACTTAATGTCAGGGACATCAAGTATTGTTGACCCACCATTCTTCATAGCCACAATATACTTAACCTCGAGGGATAAAGATGCAAGGCCACTAATTTTAAAAAATTTTGAAGAAAAAATTTATTACAAAGATATAGGACCAAATATATTAATTAAGTTACTTGAGTATCTATCTATATATATTTCTAATAAAGTTCAAAATATTTTAGAAGTTTAATAGTTATGAAAAAAAGAAAATTATATGAGTTTTACTCTTTACTCTTCTAATTTTTTATTATATAATAATGAATAATGAATTTTTGAGGGTTGTGTTTATTACCTAAAAAATAACAATTTTTTTCACATCATATTAGAATAGAAAAGAAGAATATACTAGCAAGTTATAGTGATAAAGTTTATCTAGTAAAAAATTTGAAAGTCATATAGATAAATTTTATCTAGTTAATATATAGTAATAAAATTTATCTAACAAAAATTTTAGAATATTAGTGATAAATTTTATCTAACAAAAAATTTAGAAGTCATAGAGATAAAGTTTATCTAGTTAATATTTTGTGGGCATAATTGTTTTTAGTGTAATAATTAGGGGTGAAATAGGAAATCAAATTTTTTTTGCAGATGCTGACATTTATAAGTAGTATAGATTAGTTATTGCATGTGCCTAAATGCACAAAGTAATAAAAAATAATAAACAATAAACATATTTGTGTTCATATCTAAAATCAAATCACAAACACAAAAGAAAGATAAATGAATTTAAGCATCAATTGTAGTAGGAGTTGAGAGGTGGTGGGTGGCAGTAGTGGTGGTAGGAGACTGTGATGGTTGTGGTGGATGACAATGACCATGATGGCGGTTGCGACGATGGTGGTGGTGGAGGTGGCGACGCCATTGGTGGCGGAGGTGGCGACAATGGTAAAGGTGGTAGCGGTAGCTGCAGCAACGGTGGTGGTATGAGACGGTTTCAAATATTATTTTTTTTAAAAATATTTATGAGAAATAATTTCTTAAAGTACTTTTAAAAAGTCACTCCAAACACACGTTTAGGGTCCTATTTTTCTATTAAATTTAGAGTATTAATATTAGTCGCTAGATTAACTTTAAAGTAAAATTTAAAACAATCTGAATCGCGAAAAGCAAAAATTATTTTGTTTTATTATCATTCATTCATAAAATAGTCGCCGCCGCCACCACAGTCATTGTCACCCACCACAACTATCACTATCTACTACCATCACTACTGTCGCCCACCATCTCTCAGCCCCACTACAACCGATGCTTAAATTCATTTATCTCTCTTATATGCTTGTGATTTGATATTAGATATAAATACAAATATGTTTATTATTTACTATTTTTTATTACTCTGTGCCTTCAGACACAGGTAATAACTAGTATTCAATATTTCAAATACTAAAAAATGTAATTGAAATATTAGGGACAAAAATGATACAAATCTCATATTATCTCTAATACAATTAACTCAATTTTTATTAAAAATTCTTGCCTTGATAGCATTGTCCGCCTTATATTTTCAAGTTACAACCCAAGCCTTTACAAACACAATAACTGTACAGTGTCAAGTTGTCAAACCAAGCTCCTATTGTACTGGGGCTCCATAATGTAGGACCCACCCGACCCCAATGCCCCCTCACGCGACCCACCAATGTCGTTCTCTCTCTGTCGGTCTATTTCCTCCATAAGGTCTCGATTCAATCCGTGCCTCAGATCGGCCGACGTGAAATTCCGTTTGCCGCCGGCCATATCTCTGACCAAATTATTATACACAGAGATACATATTTATCTATAAATTGGAGTTTTTTGTAGATTGAACTTGCAGGTAATTATGACAATTTCGGACGATGAAGACGAAATTCTCGTTCAATTCCTCGAATCGGAGGTCCTGTCCGAAGTGTCCGATCAGGTATCAGAGTTTCTAATTTTTGGTTGTTTGCTTCAATTTGAATGTCGTCTATGTCTCAAATGAACAGCTTTTTAGGGTTTTTGATTTGTAGCATATTTACACAGTGTATTTTAGTGCAATTTTAGTATCGTCTGTTTCAAAACTGAATTTTTTAGGAATTTGAGTTTTCGAATGTGAGTGTACGTCCAGACAATCGGTTCAATTGGATTCACAGTGTTTTGAACATAGCCGGTTTGAATTGTATAATAATTTTTTTTGTATGTATGTGTGAGCCAAAATCATCAAAAGGCTGACCAGGTTCAGTTCATGGCTTCGGTTCACTCCAAAACTCAAAAGTGGAAGAGTTAATGCACAGGGAAAGCAATGGATAGTCATGACTCTAAGATAGTGCCTATCTCTAATAGTAGCTATTGTCCTCAATAAATTTGTAGCTTGACCTTCACTTCACCACCACAGTTAAGGTTTTGTGCTTTTAAATTGTAAACCCCCTACACATGGGGCAGATCTCACTATTGCGCTCTCTCTCTTTCCTATTTCCTTGTACTCTTTCATTTATAAAATTCTCTGGCCACCATTGCTGTCTTCGGTGGTAAATCTCCATACCCAACCACTCAATCTTTGTCTCTTATTATTAACTATTTTATTAATTATTTTATACCACATACTCGACTGATTTAATTGTGCATAAATTCACTTTTGTGCATCATCAATTTCTATTATAAAGAACATGCAGGGGTAGGGATTAATGTTACCTACTTGTGGTTATCTTTGAAGTAATAAAAATGTGTTTGGAAGTTAGGCGAGAGGTGGTTGGCCCCTATACGACAACGCCTCCAAACGCTACTATGCGATGCGACAATGGCTTCATACTCTCATAAAGGGTATGAGAGACAACAAAACTCATTTTTTTAGCAAAAGGTCATCTCTTACTCCATTCCTTTCTAACGTCAGAAATGGCGAGATGGGAAAACAACTCTTTCCTAAAAGGTCATCTCTTACTCCATTCTTTTCTAAATTCAGGAATGGCGGGATGACCACTTTACTAGAAGGTTATCCCTTACTTCATTCCTTCCTAATGTCAGAAATGGCGGGATGGAACTCCTTCGTTGTTAGAGTGAGTGCCCCATTGCAATGGTTCACTTCACTCACTTAAGAGATAGTTAACAAAATAAGAGTACATATATAACAAGATAGATTGATTGGGGTATTTGATCACTATCTCTCTAGCGCTCTCCCCCAAGCATTTTGGGCTATGGGGGGAGCGGTAGGAGTACGTTCTCGAATACCCATTAGGATAAAAGAGTTAATCAATCATCGAGTTAGATATCGCAATACGAAATTTATTACCAATTAGAGTGAGTGACCCATTTAGATGGGTCACTTCACCCGCTTATGTGGCAGTTTGTCTCAGTATCAATGTGGATATTGTTTTCAATTATCATCCACGTTAATGATAATTCAGCAAAGTGTATCAGAAATGAGCTGTGAGCTCAGCTGCAAAATTAGATTATATACATATTATAATTGGCTGAATTGGAAGATTTGTTTCAGGAAGATGGGAAAATGGTTCAGAAGGGAGAGAGTGACAAGAGGGAAGCGAAGAGATATAGAGTTGAGAGCGACCATGGGGAAGGAAAGTCTATTGTGATGCAATCTTTTTTGTCATCAATTGATTTTCAAGCTCCATCAACATTGAAGGGTAAGGTTGTGCTTGATAGTTGTGAGGGTGTGAGCAGTAGAGCAGTGATATTCTGCAATATCCCTCCTGAACTCTTCCATCACATTCTTAAGTTCCTATCCTCTGAGGTAACCATATATGTCATGTCATGTATGCATATACACTTACATGTAATTTGATCTTACCTGTATGCTATTTTTTAATTCTTTTAAATATGGTTGAGTTGTTTTTATGATGATAACTGCTGCAGATCTTAGAGCATGTTCACTGGTCTGTAGATTCCTCAATAATGCTGCTTCTGATGAATCCTTGTGGCGTCGCCTGTGAGTATGTCTTGTGTTTGATGTTGTTGTGTTTTCACTTTCCAATCCAGATTCCCCTCTTCCCTCCAAAAAAAAAGGCCGAAAAAATGATATGCACAAAAAAAAAAAAAGCACCTACAACAAAGGTGGGTGAAAGAATCAATAGCCTTATTTGATGACCAAATGATTTACAATATCTGAGAGACCTCTAAATGATCTTAGTGATATCTCCTGCCATTCCTAAAGGGGGAGCTGTAGGATTCAGGCCGCGGTTGGAGCATGTGTATCACTTGTTGAGTAAGAAAACTAGAAAAAGAAATCCTGTTTTTTTTTAATGTCTATGACTAGAAGGCATGTAGGGATAATGCACACGTCGTTTTCTGACTACAAAAGTGATTATTAATGTTTTTCAGAAGTGAATATCTTTGAAGGACTTGTGAGGTTTGAACCTGCGATTGTTGGGGTTCCTCCAATTCGAGGAAGTGGCATTTTATTTAGATTTACACTGATTCATACTTTCTACATGGTTTAGTGTATCATTGTTGAGGTGCAGGTTGCACAACATATCTGTGTTATTCTCAAGCATTGGCATTCGGAGGTTAATAACCTTGTGGAGTGTGGTGGGTGGGTGTCCTTATTTAGACTGATGTCTAGTGTCCTGATGACATTGATATTGCTGAGCTTTCTCTAAATGCCCTTTAGATCTACTCGGGGCTGGTGCACCATTTATTTGAATGAGACGAACTTGCACTTTGGTTGTATTTCTTGATGTATTTTAACACCGGTATGGTTTCAGTTCTCTTGCAGAATTTGGTTTTAGTGGTCATCTAGTCTTGTAAGAATAGCTAAAAATACCTAAAGAATAAGTAAATAAATGAAGACCTGACAACACCTTTTTTGGTTCCACACTCTCCACCCTTCTCTTCTGGACTCGGCAGATAAAAGATGCCTCTTGTTCGTTTGCACATTTATGAAACTTGGGAGTATTTGATAGTGTTTGAACTTTGAAATGAGATGAAGTTTGTTTGTTTCAAGTTGCACTTAAGAACCATGTTTGTGTAGGTACTGTATGCGGTGGGGTCTGCTGCCCCCTACAAAAAAGTTGCGGGATTGTGCTTGGAAAAAGCTTTACATTCAGGTATACTTATAACTGAATGTGAATGTGCTTGTCATGTTGCACAGCATACAAATGATAAAGTTATATTTTCCGCAGAATAGGAGTTGACTTTACTATTTAATGGGAGGATTAACTGTGGAACTAGTGCCTACAGAACTTTTGCAAACTAGAGATTCCATATCCAAGAAAAAAGGGCAAGCAGAATAGTTGAGAATCTTATTTACTTGTTATTGTAGGGGTCTACTTGGAAATATCTGTACCTTCTGTTTTTAGGATTGTCTGGGCCGACCTTTATTTTCTATTTGACACATTTGATGCTTATCGTTATACATAGATTGAAATTTAAGTATAATTTCTGAGCAGTTCCTTCTTTTTTCAGCGTGATGAAGAGGATATGGTTGAGTTTGTTAGAAACTGCCCATCTGAGTTTAAAGAATATTACATCCAAATGCAGGTAGCGAAGAGAAGCCAAGCACCTCTTCCTTCTCAGGTAGACTGGAGACTGGATTTTTGCATGTGACATGTGCTTTTTACATGTCTAAATGTGGCTTGATGGCTGTTTCTTATGGTTTCTGTGCTCATAATACAAATATATGGTCTTGAAATCTCCTTTAATAATAGATTCCACAAAGGACGGGTTTATAGATCAAAGTTCTCTCTCTCTCTCTCTCTCTCTCTTATGCACACACATTTGAAGGATAAGAACATTGTAAAATTCCCTTTTGTGATTTGCTATCTCTTTCCTGCTTTTGTTGTAGAAAGACGAGGGCTGCTATGCTAAAGCCTGTTTTATTATGAAATTTGAGTTCTATTTGCTTAAGGTCACCCTCTTGCATGTGTGTTGTTGTGTGCTTCACAGAAGCAAGTGTGCAGGCACCCTTCTTTTGTGTATGCTTAGTTGGATCGGTGTGCACATCTGTGGGGGCTCTGATGATTGCAGTACTTGCAATGCCCTCTTTTTACTGTATTTTTGTGACATCAAAGATCTTATGGTCCATTTGATCTTCGATTCTGGATCTCTTTGGCATGTCTTTTTTAGTTGTGGATCAGCCATGCATTGAAGAATGAGATCTCCTGTCTCCTGTTAACTGTAAGTGTTGGTTTTTCGTCAATTGTTTTCGATGCATTTTTCACTTTTGAAGGTGAATGACCGCATCATTCTTGACAAGACCGTTGCTGATCAAGTATCCATATGGAAGAGAAGCAGAGGCCTGACCGATAAGGTGGTCTCTGATCATGCCTGTTCTGGAGAAACATGCTCTTACCACCAAATTGGAGACGCTTTTGTTTGTGAGAAGACTGGACATGTTCATGGTACGAAATCATTAGTTATTTGACATTGCAAACTAGTCTGTCGAAAACATGGTAATGAGTGTGATGGGTGTCCTTTTTTCTATCTTCGATGCAGTATGTGATGATACATGCCGAGAAGTTGTTCTGGACCCTACCAATGAGCTCTTGGTTTGTACAATTTCTGGCCACTGTTTTGATAGATTACTGTCACCAGCTGAAATGGAACCAGACGTAAGAAATTTCTACTCTAGTATGTTTGCAAAAATATTAGATTACATTTGCATTGAGGTGGTGCACAGCCTCTACTACCTGTTACATTATTTCATTCTTATATTATCCGTAGGTAGCCTACTCATTTTTTATATATTCTTCTACTTTGGGAATGTAATAGTTGGAGTGTAGGATTCAGGCTTATCCAAAAATCCTTATGCTTCTTAGCATGTGGTAATAATGGTATGGTCCATTAAAAGAACCATTAGAGGATATATATGGAGAACAGAAGTTGGTAAATGAAAGAAAATTTAGAGCCATGCCTGCCTATGATGGAATGCCCAAGTCATGTGCTTATATGAAAGTCTTCACTGTAAGACAGTCATGAGAATGATTTAAATTTCTCCCCTCAAGCAAACTAGTTTATTTTGATTGGCCCTGTCAAGCAGGATAGTTCCTGTTTCAGTTGTCATTGAACTTGATATTCATCCCTTATCCTTTTTTGGTTTAAAATTTAGGAACAGCCGCAAGGTGGTGTTACAGATGAAACAGAGCCATTCATGGGATCTGGGCGTTTTGGTATATATTAAATTCTCCCTAATCTTTTCAGTATGGTACCTTTTTTTTTTTTTTTTTTGAGAAATTCTGTTTTTATTGGTCTTTGATGTGCTTCTGTTACAGCACGAGCTTACCTATTGGGATATAATTGTGCTGATGAGAAGGAACTGGAAGCTGTTATGAGGTTTTGCTGGTATTAGTATCCATCTCTACCAGGTGGATGTTGGGGCATGTTGAAGAATAGAATGAATTTGTTACCCTTCTCTTCATCTATCTTGTTATCTCACCAATTGTCAGTTTCAGTTTGCATCGGCCATTGTTTCTGCTCATCTTTCTTGTGCTTCATGCTAGTGTTTGAACAAGGCAGCTGGTTCATACGATGTTGCAGTAGGTTATGTATCTGAGCCCATTGGCTCAGAGTGTTGGGATAAATTTTGGGTTTTGTGGATCACTTTCCTTTTGCATATGAATGTTTCTAAAATGTAGGCCTTTGTGAACAACCTCTCTCTCCTTCCCGTGTGGAGAGAGGTTGTTTTCAGTATGACATGGATTTTATAGTTGGAGGTGTAAGTATTTAGGACCTGGCTTCCCGGAAAGCACTCCGCGGTGATAGACTGAAGGTCTGGACTTTCAGTTCACATGTGCTACTTCAGATTTATGGGGAAGTTACCTAAACTATCAAATATGTTGCTTACCTAGATGTCGTGACTGCTGGTGCATATATTCCACGTGTTTCTACAGGTCAAACCAATCTTAACTCGTTTTGTTTCCCAAGTAACTACTATCCTCCCAGTCCCAGTCCCAGTCCCAGTTCCATCCCTACGCTCTGCTCCCGTTTGCGTTCATGTACACGTGTAACCTCTTCACCAAAAATATTGTTAATAATTTTTTTTCTTTTTTTTTTGTGGATTTAAAAAATTAAAATTAATTAGAGGAAAAGGGGAAAAGTACAGTCATATCTGGATGGTGTTCAGACTAGATAGAACTGCAGCCCAAAAAAATAACACAATTTTTTTTTTTCAATTTTCGTTATCCCACATTTACTAATAATAATAGGATTGGAATTTTGACGGCTACAATTTGGAAGCCTTCTCAAAATAAATTCAGAAAAATTAAATTTATTTGGATATTCTGTGTTCAATTAGTAATATTATTGAGGTTACAAAATTAAATTGGATTAAAGAGCAAGATTTGATAAATATCAACAGATTTCAATTTTAGCTTCCTCTTGCACTCATTTCCAAAATCTTTTTTATTGCTTTAATAAGTGCAACAAACAAATCACATGGTCCGTCCATAGTCTAATAGAATGATTGTAAATACCATTACTGTGTTTTTTTTTTTTCTCGAAAATATTTCACTTCAACATTATTATTATTATGATATGTATATTTATTTTGTTCTAATAACATTAATTATATGGTACCGTACGTAAACAAATAATATGTTTAGATGAGAGAGTTATGTATATCGAAGAAAGAAAATTAAATTAAAAAAATAATAGATAAAGTTGTTAGATATATATAAAATAATAGATGCAGTTGTTAGATATATACAGATTATCCTTATCATATATATTAGATTTCTGTCCATCGTCTTATAATTAGTTAGCTTTGTTCTAATGACAACATGATCCCCATAAAGTTCCATATGATTTACTTTTGACCCTGTAAATTCACACTTTTTCCAATCGACCCCCTACTTTCTGATAATAGTAATAGCTTGAGAATTAAGTTACGTAGTTGCCAAATAAAGAAAATCATTCATAGTTGACGAAACTATACACGTGGTAAAGCACGCACTATCGATCTTTTAACGCGTCACATACGCGTTGCGGTAACGCATGGGACGAATAAATATCCAAAAGAAACCAATATAAATCCCACTCTCCATCCGTTCATTTTATTTCAAGATTGATTACTCCCGAATATCTGCTTCCAACTTCTCAAGGTGACCCTGTAAGCCTTTCGATGCATTTACTTGGTATGATAGCATGTGGGTGGATAAAGATTAGTGATGACCTTATTGTTTCTCATTGTCTACAAACTTTGGATGTTTGTGTTGTTTAGAAATCATGGGATGAACCAAGAATGTGTTTATTTCTATTTTGATTCTATGTTTTCTGCTGACTTGGTTCTTGTAATTTGGGAAAGTTTTTCATGGGTGAAAACAGATGTTGATCTGGTTGCTTCTTGTTGTGTATGGGTTTTATTTTATTTTATTTTGTATTTTGATTGTGTCAAGGTTTGGCTTTGTTTTTATGAGTTGGGAAAGTGGGTTACTTAGCTCTCAAGTTTGTTAATCACATCTGCCTGGTTTTTAGTCACGTTGAGGTTTTGGCTTGTATGGGTCTCCAAAGGATGTGTATGTTTGCGGATCTTGAAGTTCTGTTTTGTTTTCTGATCCTGCATTTTCTCCCAAGTTGCATAGGTATCTCCACTTTTGAATTGGGTTTGATTGATGATCTTCTAGTATGTAAATATATATAATTTATTTAGGATAAGAGCACTCTTAACACAAACAGGACGAGGTCAGACATCGCCCTACTAGATGGAGAATGTTGGGGAGGGCATATTGTTGACCCAACACATATAATTGATCTAAAGATGTTATATAATTGTGTTCATGTTGTTTTACGAGATTCTTTTGTCATTCTAGTTAGTTTCTGCGATCAGTTTGCTGACATTTTACAGGCAGAACACTTGGAATTACTTGGTTTTGTTGTTCTATTTAACTGACTATTTATGATATTAGGTTTCAATTTTTCCATTACCTGTTTATTTTTATTTAATCTTTACTCCTATTGATTTTAACGGTGTGATTGATGTGGTATATGAATATTTTCTTACATACATTACTTGCTTTTCAAAACACTAGAACAGAATTTCACTACAAATTGCAATTTGTTGTATCAAACGAACAATCTAATTGTGTCTCTGGGTTTGTTTTTGTTCTGTTTGAACTCTAGTCTAGTTTCATTATTGTGCTTAATAAAGCAAGATTATCATATTCTACATAAGGATCAGATCTTATTGGATTTCAACCAATTCGCTCTTCTATTTGAGGCACCTCTCAGGATCATGCCAAAAATTCAGATTTATGTTTTAGACTTTGCTTGTATCTTCAAGTTTTGTTTTGTTGAGGTGCATGCATGTTTAGTTGGGTTTCTTGGCTGAAACAAATTTTAAAATTCTCTAACTTGGTCATGGAAAGAAGCTCTTCCCCGTTGCCTCTTTTTTTTTTTTTTCTGTCTTCTACTCTTCCTTTTATGTATGCAGGTATGCATATGCATACAGGTATAAGCTTCTTAACAAAAACACTTATTTCTCCTTTAGTTTGTCGAGATTAGGATGCCAGTTTGTTACCAAGGGGACGTGCTAGGAAGTTGCCATAAATTAAAGTTGCCCGTATACACATCATGTGGTTATCAGTAGAGTTGACCATGTATTGTGTTTATGTCAGCACACAGGGTGTGCTGGCAACTGCCCAAATTTTTTTTTTGTTGTGTTCTCAACAACTACCCAACCTGAACCTCACATGCTTTCAAGTGCTCAATTTTTTTTGTTTTTTTAAAACATGCAAAAATGAAGGAGAGTGAAAAATAATGTTTTGGTTTGGGTTTGAGATTGATGAGCAGACTTTAGAGATGGTTGAATATGTGTTCTTATTCTGAAATTATTGGCTGAGTAGATTGGTTCAAACATAATGTATGATGGGTTATTGGATCTTGATTATAGTTTTTGCATATCATTGTAAGCATTCCTGGGCTTAAGGGTGTTTCACTCGCAGGAAACCTGCTCAATTTGCTTTGCCTTTGTGTTCATCTTACAGATTCGTCGTCGATTCTTAGGTAGTATTACTTGATTTGTTCTGAAGAAACATGGGAGGTGGGAAGGACAAGCATGATGAATCAGCTGACAAAGGGCTGTTTTCAAGTTATGGTCATAATCCTCCTGGACAGTACCCTCCACCGCCTGGAGCATACCCTCCCCAAGGTTACCCACCAGCAGGATACCCTCAACAGGGGTACCCTCCCCAGGGATACCCTCAACAGGGATATCCCCCACAAGGCTATCAACCAGCAGGACAATACCCTGGTGCATACCCACCATCTGGTTATCCTGGTCCCTCTGCTCCACCACAGCACTCAGGTATGGTTGCTAAACTGGTTTACTATTGAGATTTTGTTGGCAAGCAACTACGTCATGATTACTCATGGGTTCTTGCTCCAAAATGTGTTTCATATGACATCTTTCAGTTAGAAGTAATTGAAAAAATGTATAGATAGAATTTCTCAGATTCTAATAACTTCTTATTGATTTTAGAACATTTGGCCTTGGGATGTAGAATTGCATATACACCCATTATCAAGATGACAAGGACTGTTTGTCTAATGTACTGTATGTTCCGGTTAAAACCAGAAGAGATGTTTGAGTTGGTTGGTAGAAATGTCATTGCTAATCCTGCTTATGAGTACTGGTAATTTGGGTTCATCTTGGTTTCACGTGAAATCCCTCTACACGAGTTAAATGAACTTCATTTTGGAAATTGCCTTGGATAACTACGATGAACCATGTATATAGAGACAAGTGTTGGGACAGACACATGGGGTTTGGTATTTTTGACATGCATGTGAGACTCCCATCATAAATATGAATATTATTTACTTTTCTCTTTAATGTGTTCAAGTATGGTGAACAACTCTACAGACGGAAAAAAAAAACATATGAAAGAAAGAAGACCCTTTATGGTGGGCTTGCTTGAGGCCATGTATGCTTGTTTTGTAAGACAATTGAAGATGGGTACCTCTGCTAGTGTGTGTCCAAGTGTTTAGGCGAGTGAACACGCATATCCAGGTGTTTGTAAGCAAATGCCTGATAATTGTCAGTATGGAGAGATGTATCCAGTGGTCATATATTTAAGTGCGTTGGTTGTATGAGGATGGTGAAAATCCAAATATGTTTTATTGATGTTGTTATATGCTGAGTTCCTTAACATTCTGTTTTCAGGGCTTGGGCCTGGAGTAGGAGCAATGCTTGCTGGGGGTGCTGCAGCCGCAGCAGCAGCTTTTGGTGCCAGCAAGATACGTGGTAGTTCCCACATGCCAATGCCATATGGAGGTTCCCACACGCCAATGCCATATGGAGGTGCCCATGGTGGTAACTATGGACATGGTGGTGGTAACTACGGATATGGTGGTGGTAACTATGGACATGGTCATGGCAAGTTCAAGCATGGGAAGCACGGGAAATTTGGCAAGCATAATAAGCACGGGATGTATGGAGGAAAGTTCAAGAAGTGGAAGTGATTTTATGCTTTACAGTCCTCTTACACATTCTGACTCTAGAGTTGCTTATCCTTGGTTCCGAAAATAAATCATACAGTTCAATCCCTGAACTGTTGATTGAATATATGTATGAGAATGGTTGATAAAATATATTCCTTTATGGCTTGTTTGACATGTTGTACATTAATCGTTTGGGCTTTGTGGAGAGTTTGGTAACATATTTAGATAAGAGGGAGGGGAGGAGGAGTTGATTTCCTGTTTCTCTTCCCCCACCGTTGTCAAGTGTTAAGTGCTTCTTTTCAGCTCTAGGATTGGTTTTGTCTGCTCATTAACTATGAGTCCATGGTTCAAATGACTCGTAACTAATTTGATCTGATATATCATGATTTTCACGTGGCTCATTCGAGTTAATCTCAAGTCATTATCATTGAACTCGAGTCGCTAGTCATTATCATCGAATCTGCTTATATCGTTCTTGCACCGACGTGATATGGTTTGAATTCCTCGTTTGTTTAACACACGGTATGACTTGAATCTCTCGGTTTGTAAAACATTGTTTATCTATAATTTTATGCACATTTATCCGATAGTATTCTGTAAAATCCCGACCGATGTGTTTTGGTGTCTTTTAGTTGATGGTTTGCAACTTTCAAAAATGAAGCGGCCTCTGAGATTTTACCAAATAAAAAAACTTTGGTAATGTGATTGGGGGTGCAAGTGAATAAGTTCATATTATTGTGAAGAAGAATATAGGATTAAAGTAAATTGGAGTGTTTATTTTTTTCCTGGTGCGAAGAAGCTAGCCTTTAAATGATGCCAAATATCAAAAGCCTAAATATCTTTGTTTTAGTGCTTATTAGGGATGATAGTGGACCGGGAAAAAATAGAGATTCATTCAAATCTATCTCGTTTGGACCGGAGATGGATCATACGTATAAGATAATAGACGTATATGGGGATACCCGTATAAGCTCTTGCGAGAATGAACTGAAACTTATTCCTGTCCTACCCTGCTAAACCCGTTATATATATATAACCAAAAATAGTTTGCGGTAATAACTTTAAAGGTTTTTAAATTTGGAGCCATGAACTTTTATTAACTTATTTCTTTGTTTTTGATTTTAATTGTATGATGTGATATAGATATATAATTTGTACTTTTATTTTTGGTCAGACATATAATTTGTACTTTGATTGTTATTTTTTTTCTTAAAATTATAGAAATTAATTGTTATAGGAGAGCGAGGTGAAAGTAGAGGGATTAGAATTTACCCGCGACAAAAGGATGGAGATTAAAACTTACCCGATAACAATGGTGGATCGGAGATGAATGAATTTTGTTTTAAACAAGTGTGAGAATGGAGACTATTATCCGGTTCACTGTCATTCCTACTTACTAAACCTTGTACTAGTACCTATTTGGTCCAAGTTGTATCTCCTGCTGCAATTTCACAATAGGGAGATGGGTAGGGCAATATTGTTAAAAGTGCATAAGAGCATCTTCAACTATAGTAGTTATTTTAGTTACTCAAAAAATATATTTTTTTTATTTTAACTACTCATTTTTTTAATACACACTCTAACAAATTCTTTATATTCTTAACTACTCATTTTAAATATTATTTATCATCCCTTTTGTATTATATTTTTTGGGAATAGTGAAAGAGAGAAAGAGAGAGAATGGAAGAAATGAGAGAAAGAGAGAGAAAATAATATACATTATATTTACATAATTGCTACAGTGATGCTCTATATTTAGAACATCACTGTAGCAAAAATTTTACAGCATTTGAACATAATTTGTTTGAGTGCTATTTTTGACTTTTGTTAGCTAAAATTTGTCTATTTTGTGCATTTGAAGTATCTGTTGGAGATGCTCTAAGGGCCTTCAGATTTAGTTCTATTGGAGCTGAGACATTGAGTCAAAAAACTAGTCTTTAGTTACAAGAACTATTATATTTCTTGCTTAATTATGCTAGGAAAAATTATTAAGAAATGCTATATATTTTCTCTCAATTCTAAATCACCTATCACACACAGGTAAAAACTCAATTATATATAGGGAGTTAAAATTTATAAAGAACGATTTACCATTAACTGAAACTATATTAAAGGAAACATAAGTTCATGAATCTTACTTGTAACTCTTATTGTGTACAAGATATGAATCGCTTCAAAAATTGGAATAGTTGAACTTGTGCCGCTTCCATCTCCATCGAGCACCACCCCCCCCCCCCAAAAAAAAAAAAAAAACATGTTTGGATGATTTTGGAGTGAGAGATTAGATTGGTGTTATCAAACTCTTTCAAACCTAACCCCCACCTTTGAGTACATAAGATTCATAGATGAATTTTGTTTATACCATATTTGGTAAGTAACAAATACACATGTAAAACTCATAAATTTATCATCATTATTACCATACATTTATCATGTAAAATGACTATTTTGTCTATTGACCAAACTAATCCATACATATATTTGTTTAAGGAATTCAGACTAAATTAAGGGGTACAAAGATATTTGGGACTTAGGGAGGTCGGTACCTTCCAAAAAATTTAATAGGATAAAAATATATTTTTAAAATAATTGGAATAGAAGTACATGAGCTTAAAAAAAGTCATAAAAGCCCTTTTATCCCTACCATAAATAGTGTATACCTAATTAAATGTGAAACTTTTAAGATTAGAATATAAGATTTTCAAAATTTCTTTTGATATTTGTGTATCATTTGAATTTAAAAATTTCATATATATATATATATACACACACACACACACACACACACATATAATACAGTGACACGTTCAACAAAAAAATAGTAATATCAGACAGTGACATGCTCAACAAAAAAAGAGTAACATCAAACAGTAACATACTTAACAAAAAAATAGTAACATCAAAACAGTAACACACTCAAAAAAAAAATAGTAACATCAAACAGTAACACAAATATTTTTGTTGAACATGTCACTGTTTGATATTACTCTTTTTTTGTTGAACATGTCACTGTTTGATGTCACTATATTACGTGTGTGTGTATATATATATATATATATATATATATATATATATATATATATATATATATATAAATATGAAATATCAAAATTTTAATAATACACAAATATCAAAAAAAATCTTGAAAGTCTCACATTTAAGTAGGTATGCACTATTTATGGTAGTGGTAATTATGAAATATATTTTAGAAAGAATTTGAAAATGTTTTGAAATGTGTATTTATTGACAACTATTTGATGAAAAAGGGACTTAAAAGATAATAATTTTAAAGGTGGTACTTATAATCAAATAAATTTTAAAAAAGATACTCACATCCCATTGTTTCAATATATTTTACTAATTGAATCCAATTTGGCCTCATAAAAAACCACGCCTGGAACCCAATATTCATGGGTTTAAGCATCCGGGCCATGGGCCAGAACTACAATCTAGGGCTTCAAATTTGCATCTAAATATATAAGTTTTGTTTGTGCAGTGGACTATTTTCCCAAAACCCATCAATCCAATACCCGTTTTACCCATCTACCAGACAAGCCTCAATGCTTTTCTCAAATTATGACAATCCAAACATAATCTGATCCATTTTTAATTATTGTCATTTTTAAAACTTTATTCTCTCCTTTCGATAGTTTTTAATATATTTTGTGAACTATCACTATTTTCATAATTATGTATTTTAAATCTAAGCATTTCAATGCAAAAATAAAATAAAATTGTGTATTCCTTCATTATATATTTACTCAATTTATTTCAATTATAAAATTTGAGTATGACTCACTATTTATAAGTTTGTCACTCGTTAAACACAATGAATGAACTAAAATTAAAAAAACTATAATAAATATTTTTGTAAACACCTTTTTTATATTAAAAAGAATAAATTTAATATAAAAATAATTAAGTCGTCTCGTGTGATATAAGAAATTCACAATATCCCCCCCACCACATCCTTTAATTCCACTGTCATCGACTACCATACCAACTTCATAATTATTTTTTTAAAATTATTAATGTACTAAACCTATGTTTTGAAAAAATTTACATATATAATTAAGTATCAAAAGGGCCATAATTTGGAAAAATAAAAACCAACATAATTTACTTTCAAATAAGAATATAATCATATAGGAAATGTTGTCGGGCGGGAAAAAAAATTCAGTATTTATTGTAGACTATTAAATCAAATTTTTTGAGATGATCTAAATCGTCTTTTATGTTGAGATTATATTATCCGTTAGATGTGTTTATAATTTGTCTCAAAACGATCTGAACCTCTCTTTCACTTTTGAATACAAATTTTGTTCTACTTTATAATTTTCTAAAATAAAAAATTCGGATATCCCACTACATTAAAATATAATATAGAGATGTGTATTTGATTTTTCTGTTCATCGTCTTATAATTAGTTAGCTTTGTTCTAATGACAAAATGCTCCCCATAAAGTTCCATATGATTTACTTTTGACCCTGTAAATTCACACTTTTTCCAATCGAACCCCTACTTTCTGATAATAGTAAATATTAGTAATAGCTTGAGAATTAAGTTTCGTAGTTGCAAAATAAAGAAAATAATTCATAGCTGACCGAACCATACACGTGGTAACGCACGCACGCGTCACATACGTGTCGCGGTAACGCATGCGACCCAATATATATCCGAAAGAAACCAATATATAATCCCACTCTCAATCCGTTCATTTTATCTCAAGATTGATTGCTCCCGAATAACTGCTTCCAGCTTCTCAAGGTGACCCTGTAAGCGCCCCCCCCCCCTCTCTCTCTCTCTCGATTATGTTCCGATGCATTTACTTGATATAATAGCATGTGGGTGGATAAAGATTAGTGATGACCTTATTGTTTCTCATTGTCTACAAACTTTGGATGTTTGTGTTGTTTAGAAATCATGGGATGAGCCAAGGATGTGTTTATTTCTATTTTGATTCTATGTTTTCTGCTGACTTGGTTCTTGTAATTTGGGAAAGTTTTTCATGGGTGAAAACAGATGTTGATCTGGTTGCTTCTTGTTGTGTATGGGTTTTATTTTATTTTATTTTGTATTTTGATTGTGTCAAGGTTTGGCTTTGTTTTTATGAGTTGGGAACGTGGGTTACTTAGCTCTCAAGTTTGTTAATCAGATCTGCCTGGTTTTTAGTCACGTTGAGGTTTTGGATTGTATGGGTCTCCAAAGGATGTGTATGTTTGCGGATCTTGAAGTTCTGTTTTGTTTTCTGATCCTGCATTTTCTCCTAAGTTGCATAGGTATCTCCACTTTTGAATTGGGTTTGATTGATGATCTTCTAGTATGTAAATAGATATAATTTATTTAGGATAAGAGCACTCTTAACACAAACAGGACGAGGTTAGACATCGCCCTACTAGATCGAGAATGTTGAGGAGGGCATGTTGTTGACCCAACACATATGATTGATCTAAAGATGTTATATAATTGTGTTCATGTTGTTTTACTAGATTCTTTTGTCATTCTAGTTAGTTTCTGCGATCAGTTTGCTGCCATTTTACAGGCAGAACACATGGAATTACTTGGTTTTATTGTTCTATATAACTGACTATTTATGATATTAGGTTTTAATTTTTCCATTACCTGTTTATTTGTATTTAATCTTTACTCCTATTGATTTTAACGGTGTGATTGATGTGATATATGAATATTTTCTTAAATACATAACTTGCTTTTCAAAACACTAGATCAGAATTTCGCTACACATTGCAATTTGTTGTATCAAACGAACAATCTAATTGTGTCTCTGGGTTTGTTTTTGTTCTGTTTGAACTCTAGTCTAGTTTCATTATTGTGCTTAATAAAGCAAGATTATCATATTCTACATAAGGATCAGATCTTATTGGACTTCAACCAATTCGCTCTTCTATTTGAGGCACCTCTCAGGATCGTGCCAAAAAATCAGATTTATGTTTTAGACTTTGCTTGTATATTCAAGTTTTGTTTTGTTGAGGTGCTTGCATGTTTAGTTGGGTTTCTTGGCTGAAACAAATTTTAAAATTCTCTAACTTGGTCATGGAAAGAAGCTCTTCCCCGTTGCCACTTTTTTTTCTGTCTTCTTCTCTTTCTTTTATGTATGCAGGTATGCATCTGCATACAGGTATAAGCTTCTTAACAAAAACACTTATTTCTCCTTTAGTTTGTCGAGATTAGGATGCCAGTTTATTTACCAAGTTGACGTGCTAGGAAGTTGCCATAAATTAAAGTTGCCTGTATAACACATCATGTGGTTATCAGTAGAGTTGACCATGTATTGTGTTTATGCAGCACACAGGGTGTGCTGGCAACTGCCCAATTTTTTTTTTTGTTGTGTTCTCAACAACTACCCAACCTGAACCTCACATGCTTTCAAGTGCTCAATTTTTTTTTTTAAAACATGCAAAAACAAAGGAGAGTGAAAAATAATGTTTTGGTTTGGGTTTGAGATTGATGGCAGATCTGAACCTGTTTTGGTTTGGGTTTGAGATTGATGAGCAGACTTTAGAGATGGTTGAATATGTGTTCTTATCCTGAAACTATTGGCTGAGTAGATTGGTTCAAACATAATGTATGATGGGTTATTGGGTCTTGATTATAGTTTTTGCATATCATTGTAAGCATTCCTGGGCTTAGAGGTGTTTCACTCGCAGGAAACATGCTCAATTTGCTTTACCTTTGTGTTCATCTTACAGATTCGTCGTCAATTCTTAGGTAGTATTACTTGATTTGTTGTGAAGAAACATGGGAGGTGGGAAGGACAAGCATGATGAATCAGCTGACAAAGGGCTGTTTTCAAGTTATGGTCATAATCCTCCTGGACAGTACCCTCCACCGCCTGGAGCATACCCTCCCCAAGGTTACCCACCAGCAGGATACCCTCAACAGGGGTACCCTCCCCAGGGATACCCTCAACAGGGATATCCCCCACAAGGCTATCCACCAGCAGGACAATACCCTGGTGCATACCCACCATCTGGTTATCCTGGTCCCTCTGCTCCACCACAGCACTCAGGTATGGTTGCTAAACTGGTTTACTATTGAGATTTTGTTGGCAAGCAACTACGTCTGATTACTCACGGGTTCTTGCTCCAAAATGTGTTTCATATGACATCTTTCAGTTAGAAGTAATTGAAAAAATGTATAGATAGAATTTCTCAGATTCTAATAACTTCTTATTGATTTTAGAACATTTGGCCTTGGGATGTAGAATTGCATATACACCCATTATCAAGATGACAAGGACTGTAATGTACTGTATGTTCCGGATAAGAATGATAATGTGCCCTTTTAATGACCAGAAGAGATGTTTGAGTTGGTTGGTAGAAATGTCATTGCTAATCCTGCTTATGAGTACTGGTAATTTGGGTTCATCTTGGTTTCACGTGAAATCCCTCTACACGAGTTAAATGAACTTCATTTTGGAAATTGCCTTGGATAACTACGATGAACCATGTATATAGAGACAAGTGTTGGGACAGACACATGGTGTTTGGTATTTTTGACATGCATGTGAGACTCCCATCATAAATATGAATATTATTTACTTTTCTCTTTAATGTGTTCAAGTATGGTGCACAACCTACAGACGGAAAAAAAAACATATGAAAGAAAGAAGACCCTTTATGATGGGCTTGCTTGAGGCCATGTATGCATGGTTTGTAAGACAATCGAAGATGGATACCTTTGCTAGTGTGTGCCCAAGTGTTTAGGCGGTGAACACGCATATCCAGGTGTTTGTAAGCTAATGCCTGATAGTATGGAGAGATGTATCCAGTGGTCATATATTTAAGTGCTTTGGTTGTATGAGGATGGTGAAAATCCAAATATGTTTTATTGATGTTGTTATATGCTGAGTTCCTTGACATTCTGTTTTCAGGGCATGGACCTGGAGTAGGAGCAATGCTTGCTGGGGGTGCTGCAGCCGCAGCAGCAGCTTATGGTGCCCACATGATACATGGTAGTTCCCACATGCCACATGGAGGTTCCCACATGCCAATGCCATTTGGAGGTGCCCATATGACACATGGTGGTAACTATGGACATGGTCATGGCAAGTTCAAGCATGGAAAGTTCAAGCATGGGAAGCACGGGAAATTTGGCAAGCATAATAAGCATGGGATGTATGGAGGAAAGTTCAAGAAGTGGAAGTGATTTTATGCTTTACAGTCCTCTTACACATATTCTGACTCTAGAGTTGCTTATCCTTGGTTCCGAAAATAAATCTTACAGTTCAATCCCTGCATTGTTGATTGAATATTTGTATGAGAATGGTTGATAAAATATATTCCTTTATGGCTTGTTTGACATGTTGTACATTAATCATTTGGGCTCTGTGGAGAGTTTGGTAACATGTTTAGATAAGAAAGGAGGGGAGGAGATGTTGATTTCCTGTTTCTCTTCCCCCACCATTGTCCAGTGTTAAGTGCTTCTTTTCAGCTATAGGATTGGTTTTGCCTGCTCATTAACTATGAGTTCATGGTTCAAATGACTCGTAACTAATTTATCCGATATATTATCATTTTCATGCGGCTCATTCGAGTTAATCTCGAGTTGCTAGTCATTATCATCAAATCTGCTTGTATATCGTTCTTGCGCCAACGTCATACGGCTTGTTTAGCACACGGTATTACATGTCTCGGCTTGTAAAACATTGTTTATCTATAATTTTATGCACATTTATCTGATAGTATTCTGCAAAATTCCGACCGATGTGTTTTGGTGTCTTTCAGTTGATGGTTTGCAACTTTCAAAAATGAACGGCCTCTAATATTTTACCAAATAAAATAACTTCGGTAATGTGATTGCGGGTGCAAGTGAATAAGTTCATATTATTGTGAAGAAGAATATAGGATTAAGGTAAATTGGAGTATTTTTTTTTTTTGGTGTGAAGAAGCTAGCCTTTAAATGATGTCGTCGGATATCAAAAGCCTAAATGTATTTGTTTTAATGCTTATTAGTATGGATGACAGTGAATCGGAGAAAAATAGGGATTCGTTCAAATTTATCTCGTTTGAACCAGGAATAGATCATACATATTAAATAGTATACGGAATGGATTGAAACTTATCTTCGTCCGTCTTGCTAAACCCGTTAAATTTATATATTTTTATAACCAAAAAAAAGTCTGCGGTAATAACTTTAAAGGCTTTTAAATTTTGAGCCACGAACTTTAATTAACTTATTTCTTTGTTTTTGGTTTTAATTGTATCAGGTGATATAGATATGTAGTTCGTACTTTAATTATTATGATTTTTTCTTAAAAATATAGCTATTAATTGTTATAGGAGAGCGCGGTGAAAGAAGAGGAATTAAAATTTACCCGCAAGACAAGGATGGAGATTAAAACTTACTCCGTGAACAACGAAGAATCGGAGATAAACAAAATTTTTTAAACAGATACGAAAGTGGAGACTATTCCCCAGTTCACTGTCATTCCTACTTACTAGACCTTGTTCTTGTACCTATTTGGTCCAATTTGTATCTCCTCCTGCAATTTCACAATAGGGAGATGGGTAGGGCAATATTGTTAAAAGTGCACAAGGGCCTTCAGATTTAGTTCTATTGGAGCTGAGACATTGAGTCTAAAAACTAGTCTTTAGTTACAAGAACTATTATATTTCTTGCCTAATTATGCTAGGAAAAATTATTAAGAAATGCTATATATTTTCTCTCAATTCTAGTTCACCTATCACATATAGGGAAAAACTCAATTATATAATTTTTCTAAAGAACGATTAACTATTAACTGAAATTATATTAAAGGAAACATAAGTTCATGAATCTTACTCGTAACTCTTATTGTGCACAAGATACGAATCGCTTCAAAATTAGAATATTTGAACCTGTGCCGCTTCTATCTCCAACGAGCACCCCCCCACAACATTTTTGGATGATTTTGGGGTGAGGGATTAAATTGGTGTTATCAAACCTTTAAAACCTAATCCCCACTTTTGAGTACATAATGTTCATAGATGAATTATGTCTATACCATATTTGGTAAGTAACAAATACACATGTCAAACTCATAAATTTATTGTCATTATTATCATACATTTGTCATATAAATGATTATTTGTTCATTGATCAATCTAATCCATACCTATGTTTGTTTAAGCAATCCAAACTAATTAAGGAGTACAAAGATATTTTACCAATTGAATCCAATTTGGCCCCATAAAAAACCACCCTTGAAGCCAACGTGGCAATGTTAATGGGTTTAAACATTGGGGTACCTCAGGCCAGAACTACAGTATAGGGCTTCAAATTTGCATCCAAATATAGGTTTTATTGGTCGAAATCAAAACCAATTTTTAATTATTGTCATTTTTAAAACTTTATTCTCTCCTTATGATAGTTTTTAATATATTTTATAAACTATCACTATTTTCATAAATACATATTTTAAATCTAAGCATTTCAATGCAAAAAAAAAAAAGGAGTATATCCTTCATTATATATTTACTCAATTTATTTCAATTATAAAATTTGAGTAGGACTCACTATTTATAAGTTAGTCTCTCATTAAACACAATAAATGAATTATAATTAAATAAAATTTAAAAAATTATAATAAATATTTTTGTACACACATTTTTTTATATTAAAAAAGAATAAATTTAATATAAAAATAATTAAATCATCTCGTGTGATTATATATTTTTTTTATCAGATCAAAAATATAGGAACTTTAATTTCCAATAAAAAAATTTTAATTTCTGGAACCCTAATAGCTCCTCTATAGCTGCGTGCGTCACTGCGTGTGTGTAAAACGTAACACCCGTCACTCGGCGTTGGGGCTAAGCTCCTTCAGCTATTACCACTCCGCACGTTCCCTGCACACGCCATTCTCTCTCTCTCGCCGCTCTTTCTCTAGGGTACCATACCAATCCTTTGTATCTATTGATTTATTTGTGTTTTTATTAGCAATTTATAGTTTCAGGGGCTTAGGGTTGATATAGTCTCTGATACGTTCTCCACATATACATATATTTTATAGATATCTGTGAGGAGAGAGATGACGGATCGATTGACGCGTATCGCTATCGTGAGCTCCGATCGGTGCAAGCCAAAGAAGTGCCGTCAGGAATGCAAAAAGAGCTGTCCTGTTGTCAAGACCGGTAATTTGTCGAAAGTTTTGATTCTTATTGTGGTTTCATGCGTAAGTTGCTATTTTTAGATGTTTTGCTTCGTTATTCTGATTGATCCAGTGGTTTCTTCGGTTAAATTTATCTGTTGATGCATAATATTTGTGGGGAATTGAAATTGAGGATTATGGTGTTAATTTGCTGCATATTTGATAAAGAAATAGTTGATAGAGCATTCAACTAGCTTGGAACAAATTACCGAAAATAGTAATTAGTTGTTTTAATAGAACTTTGATAGGACTCCATGGTTCTTTGTCATGAGAAGGACTTATTGCTATTTTCCTTTTATTTTTTGTGAACAATTCATATTTGAGTTAGAGATTGATTTGAGAGATCAAACGCATGTTTTCTCTTCTTTATTTAGTTTTGGGTGGTGTTGTTGTTGTCTGAGTTAGGGTTTATTTTTTGGAAACTAATCTCCCTCCTACTTTTTGTGACAAAATTGACAAAATACCCTTCCTTCGCATAATTCAAAAAGTCCTAATTTAATATCACTCTTTTTCCCATGTGGTTTTAATTATGAATGTCACTCCTAAAAAAAATCATGAAATTTAATAGTAAAATTTGGTAATATTTGCATCCTCGCTGTAGCTAGACCGAGCAGTTTACCACTTGCCTGGGCAACAAACCTTAAAAATAGAACCTATATCGTCAATATTTTTTTGTAAAGCTGTTCCTTTATCTTACATAAACAAGGAAAAATTATTGAGTTGTATTGGCATATTGAGACAAATGTGGTTCAACGCATCGAAAAATTCAGACACATATTGGGACAGATCTTAAGTTCAAGCCCGGCTCTGACTTCTCGATTAAGATGAATGGGTATGTCATTGCTACCTAGAGAACTTCGTGGGTTATGGTATGGGAATCTTGAATTATGAGGCTTGCTTAGAATATTGCAACTAAAACAATCCCACTTAAGACCTTTTTCCCCCTCGGACATGTCAACATGGACTTGTGTTGAAAACATTGTAGTCATAGGATTGTGTGAGTAAATTATGGAAATTATCACGATCTATATTCTGTTGCAATTGCCAGTCTGCTCCATGATATGCCTTTTTTCTTGAAGAACCTTGATGTTGGTAAAAAAGCCATCGAAGCAATGGAATGTTGTGATTATTGGGGAGGCAAAATATTAATTAAACTGAAGTTGATGATGAGGATGTCTTGAAACAAGCACATCGAATTTCATAATTCTAAAACTTATCATAAGAGAAAATCGCTATAACCTTCTGAAAATTCTGAAACTAATTGGACAAGTTCTGTAATTCAAGAGGTTGAGAAAAGATGGTAAAAAATGTTTCAGCTATAGATAAAAGCAAGATGAGACTAGGACTCTAGGAGATAATGCGGGAACACAAAAGAGATAGGTAAGAATTTACTTACCAAGTGAGGGTTTTTTTTTTATTGGGGGGGGGGGAAGGGGTTTGGGAGGGGATTCTAGACAACAACCTCTTTTCTAAGGCTGCGAAGACTTCATGATTAGGGTAGTACATTATTTGATGGAGAAAAATATCCTTGTAAAGCGAAATTACATGAGAGTAACATCCTTAGATTTTTTAAATCTAAGTGGTTTGGCCCTAAGATCTGAAGGGGATTGTGGTCAAGCGCTAGGCATGCGACCACTTTAATGTATGTTACCATGCCACCAGGGTGCTTCGACATTTATGAAACACGAATACGAGATATAGCGATATAACACAACTTAAAAAAAAGGATATGGGTACGGTGGGGATACATTTATAATAGAATTTATTATATATTTTACCATTATTGAACAACTTCAAAATTACAATTTTTAGTAATTCTTTAACAATAGTAAACAAAGTGAATAATGTATAATGTCGTTTTATTATGATATATCCATAAAGGGATCGTGATCAATAAAAAGAATGAGAATCAATATATAACTAGTTGACTTGCTAACAAGTGTTTGTTTCATAGGTTACATTGTAACTAACTCATTTTTTTATACTCTTTTAACATGTTATGATAGATAACACTAAAAAAACACTCGTGTTTTCAAAGTCAAATCGAATTTTGCTGATGTTTTATATTGTATGTAAACTCAAAGGGAAATGGTATAGATTAAAATTAAAAATTGTACATCTTGCTCCATGTCTAAAAATATCTACATATTTTATTAATCATCAGATATGTATGATGCCTATCCGGTACGTATTCTCGAAAATTCAACGAGTATCGTATCTGATACGGGTACGTTAACCTTGACAAAGTATCCATATTTCATAGTCCGACAATCATAGACAAGATGTTTTTCTTATTAATGTGCTACATAAAAGATGGATTTATGACACAAGAATACTAAAATGCCCCTGGCTTGCGCAGTGGCATAGAACTGGATTACATATTAAGTGTGGTAGGTAAAACATAGTTTATGACGTAAGAGATCTACAAGAATCAAACTAATGATTTTCAGCTACTTCAATGGTACAAATTTTGTGCAATGTGGTGTGGGTGTTGTGATGATGAATTTTTTTTGTTTTTTTTTAGGGGGGTCATGTGATTTTTTTGTTATTACTAGTCATCTCGCGTGTTAGCCTTAGAATTCTAGATTATGTTTCTTTGTATTGGGAGAATTTATTTTTGTAAACTTTAAAGATGATGTATTTAGATCGATTTTTAATTAGTTGTTGAAAAATTGTTCGATCTTTTCTTCGAAATGCTCTGTATGCTTCAAGCTAGAAGGCAATTGAAGGAAAATAGTTAAAACAAGCAATAAGAAACAATAAGAGTTAGGACTTGTGATTTTTTCTTTGGTTGCGCACACACATAGTTACCACAGTTGGCTAGTCTCGACGACTAATGATCTAAGTACATTCCCAAACAGGGTGGTTCGCAATTCAGATTATCAAAATGTATGACCTCAATTGTAATATACTATTGTATAGTAGTGAAAACGATATAGATAAGAGTTTCAAAACACATTGCGACCCAAAACACCATACTAGCTAAGCCTACTCCCATCGTACTACGTACCACGTACTAAACCGAGCCACGATCCAAATAACATTGAGACAAAACATGTATTTTTTTTTCTACTCGGTCTTGTGTAAATATGATGGAGGAAAAGAATTTTGAACTCAATAGAATATGTAGTTTGTAAATTATAAAATTAAAAGTCAACAAGAAAATAAGAACTAAAGGTTGGTAAGGAAAGCCATGCTATATTTTTCTTCAAATATTTGAAAATTTAGTCTCATGATTTATACTTTCAATAAAAGGATTTGAAATTGAGTTTTGGCTCTTGATAGAGCACAATGGGTTGACAAGATTCATATAGTCGACCGAAAAATAATTGGGATAATGGTCAATTGAGTTGAGTTTGTTAAGAGAGATGCAAACCTGGATCTTGCCCCTAAAAAAAAACTAGTATAGGTGGATTTGGCTAATAATTGCATTTTAATTATAGTCAGGCTAATAACTTGATTTTTTATTTTGCCAGTTTCCTTCAATCTTGGAATCATAATTTATATTTACAAAAGAAAATGGAAATAATGTAGACAATAAAACAGAAAGAAAATGTTGAATTGAGCTTAAAGAGGAGACAAAGTAGCTTCCTTGTTTTTCTGCTTCTTGATGTGCAACTTAGGTCTGCCACATATTACCAATTTCTTGGTCAATGGTAGAAACAATCTTTTTGTACTTCTGTCTGAATGGAAAATAACTTCGAGTATGTGAGTGCTGGGAAGTAACCATAAGTAGGCTTGTGCAATCTCTTAGATCGCAAGCGAAAAATAGTCATATATGTTCTTGAAAAAACACTTGAAATTAAAAGCATGGCAAGAATCTGAAGGTTGGAAATTGTGCTTCACCTTCAACATTGTTTTGTACTATATACTATAGTTGTCAAATTGCAATTCGTATCGTGAATTGGAATTTTAAATTTTTGAATTGTGAATCTTAAGATTCGACACAAAATTTGAATAAAAAAAAATAAAATAATAATACTACATATTTAAAATAGACAAGATATTGAATATTGAACATTATTGTATTATAAAAATAATCAATTGACATAATCACGTTATCTAAATAGAAGACGCTAATCTTTTGCTTTATTTTTATCTTTTGTTTAATCATTTTTGAATTCAACAACTTGAAAAAAAAATTATTAAAGAACTATGACTATTCAAAAACCAAAATAGTGACACCTAATATAGATTAGGTTACAAACATGAATGGAAAAAGAAAGAAAATTGATTGGGAGAACATATGCAGGTCAACATTTTAAAACAAAAAAATAGAACCTAACAATCTACCCACGAAAGAATTGAGAGCAAAAATTAACAGATGATGTGAGAGCGTTAGCCGTGACCTTTAACTTTAGCCAACGCAATACAAGGTTTAAATAACGTCGAAGAGAGAATGAGCAAAAATATTGAGTTTTTATTAGGGTGTGGATTCCTCTACAAACAAAACGAAGTTGTTTTACTATTTAGTGGACAAAACGACGTCGTTTTGTCAAAATTTTAGTTTTTAAAAAAAAGTGATTGAATCGTGCGATTCATAAGATGCGAATTGAATCGTAAGAATCATACGATTTAGGTGCGATTCAACTCTAAAACGATTCTCATATAAGATATGAATCGTTTTGTACCTGTATCGAACCGAATCGTACGAATTGAATCGTGAATCGTACGTACGATTTTGATAACTACTAGCCCAAAGTATCTGGTTTTTTGGGTTGATGGATGGTGATTTATGATGCACATGTTTTTTTTTCCTTTCTTTCTGTGGGTGTTCATATGATATATGAGCATGGTTTTAGAAGCAGCTTACTTGTGTATGGTTGAAAACTGAACTTACTGCTTTTTTTTTTTTGGATTTGGCTTTAACCTGTATGTTGGATCACTAAAGCCTTCACTGCGAGCGTGAGAATAAATTTTTCAGTTTTAGGGTCTTTGATTTTGCTAGTTTACTCTACTCATCATCTTGTTGTGGTGTTATTACAAACGAAATGGGACGTTGTGTTGTCCATTCTCCTTTGTCTCCATAGATATTCCTTCTCATACCCAGTGCAATTGTATAATTGCAGGTAAACTTTGTATCGAGGTCACTCCTGCATCCAAGATTGCTTTCATCTCAGAGGAGTTGTGCATTGGATGCGGTATTTGTGTCAAGGTTTGTAAATTGAAGTGCTCCCTTTTGAACGTTTTGCGGCTTATTAGTGAATTAACCGGATATGCCTAGCTGAAGCCGGTTTTCTCTGTTAATGCAGAAATGCCCATTTGAAGCAATACAGATCATTAATCTGCCTAAAGATTTGGATAAAGATACAACCCATCGTTATGGCCCTAACACCTTCAAATTGCACAGGTTGGTATACAATTGCAGTTCTTACAGAGTAAAAGCTTTGTGGTTGCTTTAGTTTAAACTAGTGGATAATCTCATTTACAGGTTGCCAGTCCCGAGACCAGGGCAAGTTCTTGGCTTGGTAGGAACAAATGGCATTGGAAAGTCGACTGCCCTGAAAGTTCTGGCTGGAAAATTGAAACCTAATTTGGGCCGTTTCAATGTAATATTCTTGAGTACAGTCTTACTTTATGAAGAATACCTGTTGTTTATGCTCTTAGATGTTTATTTTGCAGAACCCACCAGATTGGCAGGAGATCCTGACATACTTTCGAGGGTCTGAACTGCAGAATTATTTTACTCGTATTCTGGAAGATAATTTGAAGGTGCCTTCTGAGTTCAATATTCTTTGTGACTTATATTTTTATCTTGCCTTGTTTGATTTGGTCTTCATATAATGATGAGTGGGCATTGTATTACGTTTTTCTGCAATTTGTATGGGTAATATTCCGGTACTAGTAATTATCCGTGCCTGAAGGCAGTATATATTTCGTAAAAATTTGCAGACATTTACCCATGCACAAAGACGATGTATAACACATTTCCGACAATGACCCACTAATGTTTTAAAGAACTTTGACAAATTTCTAATTTTTCAAGACCTTTGAAGATAAAAAAATTAAAATCATTGTTAAACATTGGAAAATAAATGCACAAGCACAATAAGGCGTCCTAGTTTTGATTTTATTTTTCATCTTACCTCTAACTAAAATGCCACCCTATACAAAAGTTTTTATAGAAAAAGAATGCCTCCGTTCTTTGGTGTCACTATTATTCTAAATACTTGATTTTCCACCAAAACTCAGTTGCACCAAATACTATTCAACTTCCTAAAATTTTACAGGTGGGGAACAAAAGTTACATAAGAATAAAAACGTGTGACTATTCTAATGAAGAAAACTTTCCAAGAGAAAGCAACATTCATTTGAAGCTTATATGTGAGAATTCTGTTTAGGATTTTGCTTGGGCTTTTTCACGACAGTTTTTCAGTTTCTCATTTTTTTCTCTATTACCTTGCATCAGTTTTCACTTCCCCTCCAATTTCTCCTATGATACCTGCACACTCAACCACAATTACCATGGACTTTTCACAACAAAATTTGCATGTTTCGTGCTGTATATACTCATCATCCAAAAAACCACAATCAATTAATCAAACTTAGCAGACATCTCTACAAATCCATCTAATTTAAAAGCATTAGTAGATTAGTGAATTAAATAGTGCCACAAACATGTATTCTCAATTTTGATGCCCAAAGATGTTTAAAAAAAATTAAAAAACATCATATAATAGAATTGGAGATTAGGCTTTTCCAATAAACGGTAAATCAGAGCTTACCACATAACTTGATTTTTTTTCTTTCCCCAAGATCAGTGAATCAACTTCAATAATGAATCAACTAAACTAATTTCATGATCCCAAACCAAACCAATTCACTTTTTCTCAATTCAATGTTGTTTTTTCTCATACTCACCACTTCCCACAGAATCATCAAAAAGTGAATAACCAATCCAAACACGAATTAATCATATTTACTATGCATAGCAAGATCAACATCCATCCTGCTGGTCAATATCCTAGCTAATGTTTGTGCGTAACACAATAGAACCTCCAACGTATCTTAGACGTGACATATTTCGATCACACACACATGAACACACTGGCGCACACAAAAAAAAACCCAGAACACAGATAATAAACTTGGAATGTAGTGAAATACCCCCAAAATTTAGGTCACATTGCAATCATTTTCGAGTATTGATTCTAAACTATTACTATGGATCTTATAAAATCTGAACTCTTTAAGTTCGAGCTATAATTTTAGTTTAATTATAAAATACACTGGCACACACACACACGCGCAGGCACACACATGAACACACAGGCACACACACATGAACACAAATGCACGCAGAGAGAGAGAGAGAGAGAGAGAGAGAGAGAGAGAGAGAGATCCAGAGGGAGATGACTCCTTGCAGTGGGTGGTTCAGTGTGTGTTGGAGGTGCATGGTAGAACGGAGAGGAAGAGAGAGGGTGTTACTTCGGTGTGGTATGTATTGCAGTGGGGGGAAAAGTTAGAGATAAGGGAAGCTAACTTGTTTTTAAAAATGAGAGAGAGTTAGATGAGAGATAAGGAAGAGAGAAAGAGAGAAAGAGAGGGAGAGTTGCTGGGAAAGAGAGGTGCCGAGTGAGGAAGTTAAGGAAGAGGGAAAAAGAGAGAGTTTTTGGGTTGGTGGGTGAGATAAGGAGGGAGACTTAGATGAGAGATAAGGAAGAGAGAGAGAGGTGCCAGGTGAGGAAGTTGCTGGGTTGTTGGATGAGGAACAGGGAAAGAGAGAGTGTTGATGGGTGAGATAAGGAGGGGGACTTAGATGAGAGATAAGGAAGAAAGAGAGGATGGAAGAGATGGGTTGCTGGGTTGTATAGTGTTTTAATATTTTATACAAATAAGCCTCATTTCTCACTGTCCTCATTCCTCACTGTGTTATGATATTGTATACAAATAATCCTCACTTTATGCTAGTCTATTAAAAATGAAAGAGAGGATGGAATAGATGGGTTGCTGGTCTTTTAAAAATGTAAGAGGAGGGAGAGTGTATCGGGGAGAGAGAGAGAAGGGAGAGAGATGCTGGGTTGTTGGGTGAGATAAGGAGGGAGACTTAGTTTGCTTTTAAAATGGAAGAGAGGAAGGAGAGTGTATTGGTTGATAGAGAGAGAGTTATTGACTTATTGTATGAGATAGAAAGATAAAGTTAGATGAGAGATAGGAGTCTTTGTATTAGTTAGTATCAGGTAAGGGGAGAGAGTTAGATGAGAGATAGGAGTGTTGGAAAAATTTAGTATGAGGATCGTCAGATCAATAATATTGAATCGATCTGAGTCGCGAAAAGCTCAAAACAAACGAAGCTAACTACTTTATTATATAAATATTTAAGGTTTTCATTGATAGTGTTATCTTCAATAATGACTTGGTATCAGCCTTGTCGTCATTTGGGTCAGTCATTTCCGTACTGTATTGCACTATTGCCATATTATGTGTTTGTGATCAATCTTTGATTTGTCCAAGTGTTTTTGGCTGTTCTATATATGATCATTTTATATGTAAACAGGCAATCATCAAGCCGCAGTATGTTGACCACATTCCAAAAGCAGTCCAGGGCAATGTTGGTCAAGTGCTTGATCAGAAAGATGAGAGAGACATGAAAGCAGAGCTTTGTTTTGACCTTGATCTGAATCAGGTTATAGACCGTAACGTAGGGGATTTATCTGGCGGAGAGCTTCAGAGGTTTGCTATTGCCGTTGTCGCGATCCAGAATGCTGAGATATATATGTTTGATGAGCCTTCAAGTTATCTTGATGTGAAACAGAGGCTTAAAGCTGCCCAAGTTGTCCGATCTTTGCTCAGACCTAATAGGTTGATTTCATCAGCTTTTAAATTTTCCACTTATTGATGTTCGAACTTAAAAAGGAAATCTTTACAATCTGGATTCTTTTGAGTTTCAGCTATGTAATTGTTGTGGAGCATGACCTCAGCGTTCTGGATTATTTATCAGACTTCATTTGCTGCCTATATGGGAAGCCTGGTGCCTATGGGGTTGTGACCCTTCCCTTCTCTGTCAGAGAAGGAATTAATATATTCCTTGCTGGCTTTGTTCCCACCGAAAATCTACGGTTTCGGGATGAATCTCTTACTTTTAAGGTAAACATCAAGCTTTAGTAGATATGACACCCCTAATTTACTAGCAGTATTATTTAATTTACTACGGGTTCCCTGTCAGGTTGCTGAGACTCCGCAGGAAAGTGCTGAGGAAATTGAAACATATGCACGATACAAATACCCGACCATGACTAAAACCCAGGGTGGTTTCAAGCTTAAGGTCATTGAGGGTGAATTCACTGATTCTCAGATTGTAGTAATGCTGGGCGAGAATGGGACTGGGAAGACTACATTCATCCGCATGCTGGTATTCTTTCTTTTGGTTATTTCTGTTTTCTTTCGCTGTTTCAGTGATTCCATATTATGAGGGCCAAAATTGTGTTGGCAAAACTGCAGGCTGGTTTGCTGAAGCCTGATTTAATAGAAGGCTCTGATGTGGAGATACCTGAGTTTAATGTCTCTTACAAGCCACAGAAGATTAGTCCAAAATTTCAATCTACTGTTAGGCATTTGCTACATCAAAAAATTCGCGATTCATATATGCATCCTCAGTTTGTGTCGGATGTGATGAAGCCTCTATTAATTGAGCAATTAATGGATCAAGAAGTTACGAATCTTTCTGGTGGGGAGTTGCAAAGAGTTGCATTAGCTCTATGCCTTGGGAAGGTAAGTCTTTCTTTGTAGTTTGATACTTTGGTTCATTGGAGCAAATTTTCTAGTTAGCAGCTAATCCTCCCTTCTCAAGAACTTGTTCATATGAGATAGTTAATTGGGGCTATTGTTTCTGAAATGTATTTAGTATTTTTTCGTAATATTGAGTGTATGTTGCATCATCCACAACATGCACATGATCTTGGAACTTCCAGATTAGATAGTTTTGAATTCTTTTGACTGTCAGTTGTTATATGTCCATTCCTTGCATGTTGCTAGTGGTTTTATTCTCCTGCAGGTTAATTAGCTTCTTGTGCATCAACTCATTGTTGGTTTTGAACTTCTGATTTTGTTGTGATACAACTTTTATGCACATCCATTCAACATTTACAGCTAAAAAGGGTAGAGATACAACATTTAGTAAATTACTACATTCAAAATTGCTATTTTTGTTTGGTGAAGATCTCTTTTCATCGTTTGTGGCGAGTTTGCCCCCTTAGCTAGGTTAGTTTGTTTTTGATAACAGATGAGATGTTTTAAAAATGATGGGGTTGGATACAGGGGTTTGGCTTGTACCCTCCTAAATTATTTTCATTCTAGTGTGTTTTCTGCCACATCTGTTGCAGAGTTTGGAAGAGATGACTGGCAAGGCGTGTATTATTACATAAAAAATCTAAGTAACTCAAAAGGGTCCAAGCTAGTTATTGCTTTGCGCAATTATAATTCAGCTATTGGTATGACCAAGCAACCCATCTCCTGATCCTTACAACACAAGTACCATAATTAAAAGCCAGTCTCTTTGGCCCAACACTATAGAGTGACAATGTGACAGTGATTGAAGCCCTTGCAGTATACACAAGTCAATTTGACTCCATAAAACTTTAATCCAAGTTTGTGGGCTCGGTTACATGTATTTTGTTTCTCCATTGTGCTGTATCAAGGGCCTTATTTTCCCTTAACTCTTATGCTATCATATTATTTTTACTATTTCTTTAAAAGTGAGTTTAGGCCTACCTTTACCACTCACATAACTATCATCGATATATATCTGATCACTCTTTTTTTGTTGGTGCATTATAAACATGTCCACACCGATTAAGTCGATTCTCTAGTAATTTACCTCACATCATTGCTACTTCTACAGTTTCACGAATGAACTCATTCCTACTACTGTCGTTTCTTGTTTTATCATACATTCGTCTTACAATTCTCAATTCTGCAGCACTTAGTTTTTGAGCTTCTTGTTTTTTAATTGCCCAACATTTTGTTCTTGGACATCATTATAGGTTTAATAAGTGTCTGATAAAACTTTTCTTTTAACCTGAGGGGTATCCGCCGACATAAATACATAATCCACCACACAGTGCATCCTCCTATCCTTATGGATAATTGACTCTAAATATTAAGTATTCGATTGTGTCTCTTAATCTTTGATTTTTACTAACTCCCTATTTGAATTTCGACTATTACTAAATCTACATTCCCTATATTTGATTTTATTTTTATTTATCACCCCAGGATAGGGATGATAAATAAGGAGGACCCTCATGTGTGCACTGAAAAGGTGCCATCTATTTTTTTTCTAGGGCTTCCAACCCCTTCCCATTTTTCACTTGTGTTATATTTTTCATTTCTTGGTCTCTCTCGAACACTGCTCAGAGGGTTGAGGCTACACATCCTAGGATTAAAATAGAGTTGAGGCCAAACTAGATGATGTTGGTGGATACACTGTTGTAATTTATTTTTGGGGTTCAAATTGTGTTATTAGATTTGGGGGTAGGTAAAAGAAAGAAGGCTCGTCTCCTGTGGAGATGTGCAGTGTTGGCAACCTTTTTGGGCTTTATGGTGAGAAAAGAATGCTAGAATCTTTGAGAATAAGGTCAAAAATGGGAGTACCTTGTGGGAAAGAGTTTACCATTTGGCTGCTGCTTCTTGGGTGTAGATAACTCCTGTGTTTGTAGGTATTCCTTTATTTTGATAAGGGCGTATTGGAATTATGTAGTTGATAAGCAAAATTTGTACTTCTCTTTTCTTTCTTGGTGGACTTCTTACCTCATTTACTTTAATATTAATTTAATAAAATTTTATTTGTTGCTGAAAAAATATTATTATTTGGAGGACTTCTGTATGGTTTTTTGGAGTCTCTAGGGCCCTAGGCATTGATCTCCATCCCCAACCTCGCTATCTTTTTAACTTATTTATGCTTTTATGCTTTTATTGTACTTATTGTAGTACTTTGTTTGTCCTGCATCGGTTGGCATAATTGTGATTTCTAAAATAAGATGTGTGGATGTTTTATATACTTTCTTTTTTTGATTTATGTGATCTTCTCTGCTTCTCAGTCTTTTTTTCCTTTTCTTTCTTTTCTTGTGTGTGTATATGCAACATGTCTTCCTGCTATGATTGCTCCCTTTTTGTGACATTGTTTAGGATGCATAGTTTGGATTTGGTGTCCTTGTGGAATTCTTTTTTGTGATGTTTTTGTAAAGCAAACAATGAAAGAAATAGTTATTTTTGAAAAGTACGGAAGGACTGTGCCCTTCAACAACCAGATCTCCTGGAAAATTGACATTAATTATTTTTGTTCCTTGTTACTGAATGTGTTTTTTTTTAATAATCTTGCTTGGGGTTTACCGAATTACATGCAGCCTGCGGATATCTATCTGATAGATGAACCAAGTGCATATCTTGACTCAGAGCAGCGTATTGTAGCTTCAAAAGTCATAAAGAGATTTATACTTCATGCAAAGAAGACTGCATTTGTGGTTGAGCATGACTTCATAATGGCAACTTACCTGGCAGACAGAGTCATTGTGTATGAGGGGAGGCCATCAGTGGACTGTGTTGCAAATGCACCTCAGTCATTGTTGACTGGAATGAATCTATTCTTATCTGTGAGCCTCTAAGTTTCCCTTCTTAACATGTGGCTGGCTTGTTCTCTCTTGTTGCCTGCAATTTTCTTTTGCACCTTCTTATGAATTGCATTTTGCTAAATTTTGTGCAGCATCTTGACATCACATTTAGACGGGACCCCACGAATTATCGCCCAAGAATCAACAAATTGGACTCGACCAAGGACAGGGAGCAAAAAAATGCTGGTTCCTACTATTACCTGGATGATTAATGTTATTATTAACAGGTTAAATCCACATTCACCCACTTATCAATTCACCTCCCTGTTTGGCTTCTCAGTGGTAACAGTTTCTATCTTTATTTACAGATGATACTTATACACACAACGGGGCATCTATGCTCATTATGCTGGAAATGTTGCTCATGTGATTCAATTAGTTGATCAAACCTCGAGTGTCCTTTACTTTCCGAAGAGAGCATGTCTATCATGTAGCGTGAATCGAGTATCTTTGCCAGTTAGTTTATCATATTTTTTGCATTTGGTATGATTTTGTTCATCGGTTTTCACTATCGGTGGAGTGGATTTAAGAGGTTTCTGTAATTGTAGTTTGGCCTTGTTGCTCACCCATCGTCTTATTGGAGTAGGTATTTGAAAGTCGAGAGTGAGAATGAAGGAGGGGTTGTCAGACTAATTTATCATGGAACATGGCTAGCTTTTGCGAAAAGTACCCTGGCTTGTTAACATTCCCAGCTCAGTAACGTTTTTTTTTCAAAGCTCTTGAAGTTCTTATATTTTTGTGAGAATGAAAATCTTCACTGCAGCTTTGTGAAAGATTTTTTGATGAAATGAGGGAAATAAAGAAACACCTACATTCTATAGAAACCTGACAATTGGCTGCCAGAAAATGGCCAATTCAAAAGAGATTTTGGAGTTTGTTTGTTGAATTGAATTCGTCCAGAGCTCTATTTTGCAAGCCCCAAGGCTAAATTATTATTATTATTATTTAAAATTATGTATTCCTACTTGGCAAGGTATATGGATTAAATTGTGGGTGCGATTTGGCCTAGCAGATTTTTATGAGTTTGATAGATTTGGATTAGTTGGATATGGATGACTTACTATTTTTTATTGATAATTTGATTTGAATTCATGTCATACTTCCTGGATTTGGATTTTTTTTTTGATGGAAGAAGCATTGAGCTGCTGTGAGAATTGCCACAAAATTGAGTTTTCTTTAGGCATTTTCGCTCTTAAAGCGTGGATTAGCGCACTGAGTTTTACACGAATTATGTGACATAGGTCATAATGCATATAAACTCTGTGTCTTTGAGACTATTATGTCCCTTGGATGCTATTTGGAACAGTAGTTTGATTGTTGTACTGTGGTCTTATTAAGCTCCAAGGGTTCAATATACGAAAATAGTTTCCCTATATACAAGAGTAACACGTAATTCTCATTTAGATTTGACTCAAATTCAATCTTTAATGCTTGAGATTTGGAAGAATTATTGAGAAAGGTATGATTACATAAACCCAATCTTTCTTAGATCCTACAATATGACCACTCATGGATCGAGTTGCCTATGTTTTTGGGCAATGGAGCAATTTTTTGTATCTTGACAAGGGCAGCTCCACTTTGATGAATGGCCATGGTACCTTCTCCTCGAGTAATGAACTATTCGAAATCCTTAACATAAATTAATAGGAAACATTAAGAGTCGTTGACCATTAAATTTGCTGAAATTCATTATTAATCCAACAACATTAATGGAATAGGGCATCAAATTAAATTAATAAACTAAGAAAAAATAGGTATAAATAAAAACAAGAATCAAAATTTTTTTTTTGACATTTCAAGATAGTTATAACCAGAGAAAGAAGTTACAAACAAATAAAAACGACATAGCAAATTTTTTTTTTTTGACTTTTCAAGATAGTTATAACCACAGAGAGAGAAGTTACAAACAAATAAAAACGACATGGCAAATTTTTTTTTTTTTTTTTTTTGCCAAAACCCCATTTTCATTCCCATTACTAAACAACCCAAGATTTATCTGACAATGGAGGTAGCATTACAACTGAGTTGGCCACGCCTAAAAACTAGTAGAAAATGAGAAAAAAAGAAAAGAAAAGAAGCGTTAATAGCCCTTTTAATTTGTAAAATATGCACGTTTTGTCATTTGGTCTTTAAAGTATTAATTTGGTAATTTAGTTACTAAAATATTTAATTCATGTTTAAAAGGTCCCTATATAAACGAACCGTTAAGTTTTTTCTGAAAAAATCATGTATTTGTATCGTGATACCATCTAAAAGAATAGTATGTGATTATTTTTGTCAAAAAATTTAACGAATTATTTGATTAGGAATCAAAATGACACGAATTGAAATTTTAGAGACCAAATAGATAAAATTAATACAATGAAAACCAAACTGATACAATAAACATACTTTAGGGACTCTAAAGTGCTATTAACCAAAAAATAGAAGAAGAAAAAGCACACCGGCAAAAAAAAAAACAGCAAATCCCACGGCTGGCAACGGTCGATGAGGAGACTGGTAAAAACTCTTTCGACAACAGGCGATAACGAAGAAAGTGGTAACGACTCTCTCTCTTTCTCTCTTGATCGAGTAACGGACACACAACCACCTCCATCTATATCTTATATGATACTCACGTGAGGGATGTGTGCAAGTTTCGAGTGATGTCCTATTTCTCTAAATTGATACGACAAGCTCTTAGATATACGACGTAATTCAAACACTCCAAGCTTGGTTAGATGTTCGATTCCCGATGGCACCTCTTCTAATTGCTCACAATAGACAATGCTCATCCATGCAAGATCCGGCATGGCGCCTTGCTCTATTTTCACCCATCTCAACTTTTCTAAACTCCAAATCCATAATTTTTTGAGCCTGGAAAACCCTCCAGCCTTGAAGCACAATTCCTCTCCACTATATGCCCAATGCAATTCAAGACATTGAAGATTTGGCAAATCTTGTAGGCATTGCAGTGGATCATCCTGTAAGTGGGTACTTTCGAAAGTTACTTTGACCAAACTATATAAAGAAGACATCCAATGCGGTGCCCTCTCAAGAAGTCCATGTAAAGTTAGCTTTCGAAGAAGTGAAGGACTCGAAGGAAAAGATGATAGATCTATGATGTCACCATTTGACCAAACAGATAGTGAGCCAAGCTTGGTCAACTTTCGTAGGGCTGAGCATAAGGCCACTCCGTCTTCTCTTCTCAATTTTACAATGTGTAAAGTCTTTAGTTGGGTAAGCTTCTCTATCTCTCCAGTTATAATGTTGCCATTCTTCTTGTACGCACTGATTGTACGTAACTTTTGCAGGGACGGCAGATTTTCTATTTCTGGTGGGATTGTAAAAGACCCCCAAAAAGTATAACCCACATAGAGATTTCTAAGTTTTTGAAGCTTTCCTATTTCGACCGGCAATTCAAGTTCCTGATTATAAGACAGATCCAATATTTCGAGCTTCCCAAGGTTTCCTATTTCCTCAGGCAAATAAGACAAACGGTTCCCTGTCAGATCCAAGATCTCTAGGTTCCGAAGCTCTCCAATAGATTTTGGAATGGTTTTCAGTCTAGATTCCCTGATGCATAGATACTTGAGGTGACGTAGTTTAGAAACATCATCTGGGAGTACCCACCAACCATAACTTAAATCTAGCACCTTCAGCAACTTACAACAACCAAATATGAGCGGAAACATACTTAACACGGATTCTGGATTAGCCGCAGCAAACATGAGTAGAGAGTGAAGTGGAAGAAAATGCATGCGCTGTTGTTGTAGACCTTTAAAGTGGTGAAATGCCAAGTGTCGAACTTTATAAGGCAAATCAGTCACATCTTGTTCCCTGGCCACAATTACAATATGCTGCTCTCTCGACTTGGAAAGTATAATGTCACGGAGAAGATCATGGATACAAAATATCTTGGGTTTTCCCTCCTTTGTTGAACTTACCAATTGAATTAAGCTTCTATTGAGAAGTTGATTGATATAGTTGTCGGCAACTTCTGTTGGAGTCTTTATTTGACTCTCTTGCACCAATCGTAGTGAGGTCCACAACCGAATAACTTTCTTCCTGTCAATTTCATAATCCTCGGGAAAAATGCTCAAGTAAATAAAGCAAATTTTGAGATTGTAAGGCAAATCATTGTAACTAAGAGACAATATTTTTTTCATTCTGCTAATTCTACCCTCATCTTGAACTTCAGCACTAAGTTCGCGTAGAATCATCTCCCACTCAGTTATGCTTTCCTTCAAAGCCAATACGCCACCAATTGCAACAATTGCAAGTGGCAATCCCTCGCATTTTCTCAATACATTTCGTGAGAGTCCTTTAAGATGTTGAGGGCAGCGTTTGTCTTCAAATGTCTTTTGACAGAAAAGAGTCCAAGACTCTTCATCAGACAAGGCCTTCATTTCATACAAGTGACCTCGGGATTCAAAGCGGGAAACAGAAGCCACATCAAGTACACGAGTTGTGAGTAGTACACGACTACCATGATTGCCATCGGGCAATGCATACTTGATGGCATCCCATGCATCTATGCTCCATATATCGTCTAACACAACCACATACCTGCGTTCCTGGAGGAATTCTTTGATGGTTGCTTTCAGCTCATTGTCATTCATGGTTTCCATTCCTGCGGGCTGTGCCTGGAGTTTTTTGATAATATCCTTCAAGAGCTTAACAATGTCAAATGATTGTGAAACTGTGACCCAAGCATGGTTTTAAATTGCCTCTTTACTTGTGAATCATCGAAGATTCTTTTTACCAGTGTGGTTTTGCTGAGTCCGCCCATCCCCACCACCGAAACCACCTTGAGTCGAGAGTTGCCATCAAGAAGCCAACGAATGAGTTGTTGTTTGGGCTTCTCGATGCCCACAAGCTCAGCTTCTTCTATGAGAAGTGCATCACCTCGACCATCATAACATGTGTTGCTATTGACAGTAGAGCTTGAGCCTTGCTCTGGGATTCGATATCCCACAGGCAATTCCTTAGAAAGATCTTCGACTCTGAACTTGAGTTTTCTTAGTTCAGAAGCAATTTGGTGGCGAGCTTTTAGGTTCCAAAAAAAGTCAACCATCTTATATAGAAAACCATAGCAACCATCCCCATGATCATTCTCCAACCGAAGCATGAATTCATCAAGAACATCTTCGACATCGTTTGCAACATCTTGGACTTGCAGCACCTGTTTTCGGAGTTGTTCATCAGTCTCTTTTTTCATATCGACATATCTCAAGAAGTCCTTCATTTTCTCCAATTCATCTCTGATGTGCTTAACTTCTTTCCCAACACACCTAAAAGTCTTGCCTCTTCAATCAGCAAGGGCTTTAGCTGGTCGAGTAGAAAGGATATAGCATTCTCTGCCATTTTTCTCTCTTCACTTTTCTTAAGAGGCTTTTAGGTCTCTCAGCTCTCAGCTCAGAAGGTTTGAGGAAATGATTGAAGGACACGGCTAGATGAAATGTTAAAGTAAGAAGAAAGATGAGCCGGTCCAGTGTAAAATATGAAATTTTGGCAGAGGAAGAAATATTTTAATTGGAGTAACCTTTTTCAATTTTGTCATACCTCTCTGCACCATGAACCTTCTCGGAAGGCTGCAATGGACGAATGTAAGATTTTTAAATTTTTCCACCTTCGACATGGTGAAAAATAATCTTAAGAGAAAATTTATTAATATACACATAAATTTGAAAGCACTCTTTGTATTATATTGAAACCCACTATTTTTTTTTTACTTAACTGTTTTAATGAAATTGATTTACTTTTATAATTATAGATTTATATATTATTCCAACCATGATCTGATCCAAATTTGTTATACAATAATAAGATTAAATAGTACTCTCGTTAACACTATTTTATGAATTGGATGACAATTAATTGTCCAATCTCATCCTTTATTTGTACCTGAACCAAAGATGTTAACTTGGTACATCTTTTTGAGACCCTTGATCTTTTGTTGGGTGGTGTGTGTGTGTGTGTATATATATATATATAATAATAAAATTAAATAATACTCTTATTAACACTATTTTATGAATTGGGTGAGAATAATTGCCCAATCTCATCCTTTATTTGTACTTGAACCAAACATGTTAACTCAGTACATCTTTTTGGGTCCCTTTATCTTTTGTTGGGTGGTGTGTATATATTATATATGTGAAAGTCAAACAATATGTAAAAATATGCCCCCTCAAGTTATTGTTCATAATATGTTACGTCAATTCTTATGACAAAAAACTTAAAAGTCTATGAACAAAAATATTATAATACCCATCTCATAGCGTATTTTTAAACTGTTGTTTTTTTACATAATTTTGTCTTTTTATTATTCACTATCTCCTCAATCACATTGCTTTAAAATTAAACATTATTATTAGATTATCTGACCAACTAAAACAAAATCAATAGCTCGGGGACAAAGTGACACTCCTCATTCAATTTGTAATAGATATCTACAACTAGGACAACATGAAAGTCTATGAGCAAAAATGTTATAAGCCTCGTCTTGTTTGTATCTTTGAAAAATGGTTCCCATCTCACTCCACCCTCTTATTTTATCACATCAAGTTGAAAAATAAGTTAAAAACAATGGTTGGTATAAGCTGTCACACATCAAGTTGTATAGGTTGAATTTTTTCCACATTTATGAATAAAAATAAGCTTTCACACTTGAAACTTTTTTTTTCCCTTATTTTGACGGAAGCGTGTGGTTGTCATCCCTACCACACTGACGGTCGTTGCATTCTTCCTTTTTTTTTTATTTTCTCTTTCACAATTGATGAATGCCTTTGCCACTAGAGACATGCCTTGTATTTTTAGGGAACAAAAAAAAATTTAAAATTACACAAAATAGATTAAACTTCTACAAATATTCCATGAACTTGTTTGATAGACGTGTTATAGATGAATTAAAAATTTTATTGTACTATTATTTATTTAATCAGGCCTAATATTTCGTTTGATAGATAAATTTGATTCCGTATTAATTTAAAAAATGTATACTAATTGTATACTTATCTTATATTTTTAGTACTATAGACCTATATTATAAATATATTTTAATACCACCAGGAGAGGTGGTATTATAATTTATCTCAAATGTATTATTGTACACATTTACTATTTTAATCTCATAACTGATAAAATCAAACTGTCATCAATGTAATAAACATTGATTGAGAGTATTTTTATTAATTCAACATTAATACCAAGAAATAATGTTCTAACCAAACAACCGATTAGATTATATAATTACTATCCAACGCTTATACTATGTATTGTCAAACACTAGATAAAATTACGTATTATTCTAATATCGTATTTAATCTTGCTTTTTATCTATCTATATTGTATTAGATTATATTATGTTATCTAATCTATCCATTTCTAATACAACAACCAAATAGCCCCATCTATACAAGAGTTGGTTCAATAAATGCAAGGCATTTCTTACCTTTGAGGATATTTAAAGGTACTGTATTTATACACGAGTGGTACGAATTTGTGTAACACATCATCTTTTGTTGGGTGATATATATATATAGTGTGGATAGAATTAACAAAAAAAATTATGGCAAAGGACATGAGTACAATTTTATACAAAAACAAGGGATCTCGTCAAAGTTTTGGCCATTTATGAGTGATGTGGTTGGAAGTTTTTAAAGAAATCTTTTGGGATGTCATTATCTTTTGGATTATTAAAAACGGTCTCTAACAATGGAGGTCTAATAATTCAAGTAAAGAGATAAATTTAAAAAGTTGAGTAATAAACAAAAATATGCCCCACACGTTATGATCCATATTTATTTTACGTTATTGCTTACGACACAACTTTTGTCGTACTCGTGTAAGCTGTGGAGTGTTCCACCAAATTGCAAATTTTTTGAAATTTTATTTTATTTAGTTGTAATTTATTTTCTTAATTTCTTACTGTTTTTATGAAAATGTAATTCGGATGTGTTTTTTAACATAAAAACTTGTTTTGAACTCATGTTTTCACGCTAAAAAATAGTGAATTTTCATCCCATTATATTGAAAAATAGTTTTAAAAAATTCCAAATCTTGATAATATTCAAAATAAATCTGAACTTAATTTGTGTAGGTTAAGTATTTCCTGAAATTGGAAGAAAGATGAAGGTATTGTTTTGTAACACTTTTTGAAAATACTTTCTTTTCAAAAGTATAATTTGTTTTTGGATTTTAATTTTTTTATATTATATAATATAATATACAATGAACATATACAAACAATATAATTTAGATTTTAAAAGTTATCAAGTCTAAGGGTAGGTTTGTAGTTTTTAAAAGTTATCTTTTGTGATTTCATTCTTTTTTTTTGGATTATCGAAAACGGTTATTAACAATAGAAATAATTTCAAAAACTATTTTAAGTACTGTTTGTTTTTGCAATTCTTTTTCTTTATAGATTTTTTTTCCTTAAAAAGAGATGCAACATGAGAATTTTCTAAGGGATCACCCATCCTAATACTACTTTCAACTTTTTATTTTTTGACTTTGTGGTCGCCATCCGTTATTACGTGTGGTCCCTTGTTTTTTTTTTTGTTTTATTGCAATTTTCCTTCTCATCTTTTCCCGTTTCCCGTTACTAAGGTTCGATTGGGTAGGAAAAAAAATAATAAAAAATAAAAGTGGTAGAAAGTGACGTGAAATAAAAAAAATAATAGAAATTATATTTTTATACATATATTTGATTAGAATGAAAAATATACAGGAAAATTTTTTTAAAAAATTTTTATGCTATTGTTTGAAATAAAGGAAAGTTACAAGAATTTTTTTATAATTGTTTAAAGTATCCTTAATTATATTCAATCGGTCTAAAAAAATATGTATTATAATTAGAAGTTAAATTTTTTTTAAAAAATGGCTCGAAACATAATTGTAGGACAATCACCAATACAAAAGTTTTTGAACCAAATTATATAATTAATCAAATTCACACCAAATTTTTTTAAAATTAATAACTAATAAAAATTTTTAAGAAAAATAAGGATAAAATAAAAAGTTAACTATAAATTACAACTTTATTGTATTTTTTTGTGTTTTTTACAAGAAAAAAAAGTTAGTCGTAAAAAAATTCAAGCATAAAAAAAAATTATTTTTTCTATCATTTTTCTATTCATACTAATCAAACACATGAAAATTTTAAAATTTTTTTCTTTCTTGCATTTTCAATTATTCTCCCACAAAATAAATGAACCCTAAAAAATGATTCTCGCCTCAAAGGTTTCATCAAGATGGCAGATCAGACAAGATCGATTGCCTTAGACGAGAGAGAGAGAGAGAGAGAGAGAGAGAGAGAGAAGAGGCGCAAAAGATAGAAGAGATGGATAGTGGCTGGGTGCAAAACGATTAGGGCAAAAAATGCCTAAATAACTTCAAAACCTAGTATTTATGATATTTGAAGCAACCGACCTGGTTTGTTTTAAACCGTCTGGTTCTTAGATTTTGTTACAAAACTTGTCGATTTAGCTGGTTTTGTCTGGTTCTTTTGCTCAAACGATCCAATAACTAAATGGGTACGGCTCAGGCTCAGGCTCCGGATCACTGGTTCACCGGGTCAACCTGTCGGGTTGGGCAAGGTTTTAAAACACTGTTTGAGAATCCAATTATGACTAAAAATGTTCTTCCAATTGGGCATTCATAT